TGTATGATAATAATAAATACTCGGATTTGTATTTACAGTACTACATCATTAATTGTCCTTCTATTACCTTTTTCCCATTTCAAAGATTGGCGATACTGCGTGCACGGGCGGATCTACGGAGCGGGACTTTCGGGCTGAAGCTTCCCCCTCCCTCCTCCTTCCCCCCACCAAATAGTAAAATATAACCATGTTTTATGGAAAAAAATATTTAAAAATTATATCTTAAAGTATTATTGTTCGTGTAATTACATTCAAAAGGACTTCAAGTATCACTTAAACACCATTTCATATACAAAGCTAGTTTCTTTCTTTTTTCCAAAGTAAATATCTTCATTTTTATGAGAAAAAAAAAGCTTTCGGGCTGAAGCTTCCCCAAAATTAAATCCTGTATCCGTAGTACTGCGTATCTGCCCTGTTAATTGTTTTTTTAGGCAAAGTAAATTATCAGGAAGTGCATTTGTGTAATAGTTACGAACAAATATTTTACTGAGTTATTATTCAATTAATTGAAAATTATTCTATTATCGTATTCCAGATATGTATACTTTACATTTATAATGTATCTAATAACATTTAATTTCTTTAAATTAAATATCGACTTGTTTCATCCTTGTTCATTTCGCTTGCTGTCTTTTTTAATAGACCTGAGCCGGAATTGAGTATTTTTTTTTGGTTCAGATACTGCCAATCACTCGAAGTTTGGCTACTTTAATAAAGTTAATTCCTTGCCATAAAATTATCTTCTCGATGAGCTATGGATTCTCCTTAGAAGTAAATATTTGTTTACACCAGATGAATTACATTGTCTTGTTCTTTTAGTGCAGGATTCATAATAGAAAGAGAAGCTTGGTAACGCGTTCTCAGTGCAGTTAGTGTTATGAGGTCACCTGGTATTCTCGGATATGACATGAATCATGGCAGATATAATCTCCTCTTGAATGTCCTGGATGTTATTTAATGGTGCTACAGACGCTTAAGAAGTTAGTTATGGCCGGTTGGAGAACTGTTCCTGACAAGAAACGGTTGGTGAATATTAAAAGGACCTTTGGCAGGGGCAATGTCATTTCTCTTTAAAGGGCTGGTTCGTTAGCCCACAGGTTAGGCATCTTCTTTTTTATTTATAAACCCATTGGAGACTGATCCGAATATTACGCTGTTTGTTCGCTAACGACTTCCCAACATGTTCAGAATCTATTAATGACTTCGGGAAGAAATGGGTCTAAAATTTGTTTTCTCATTTTTCCTGGCCATAGTTTTTCATGAATTTTAATTAATTGGGGAATATGGAAATCTAAGAAATAAAGGGAAACTAAGAAAGGTTTTTACTTTCACTTACCTATATATGTAATATATATTAAGTGTAAGTATTGCGATTGTGAAAATTTTCGAGTCTGAGTTTTCGTATGTACACGTTTTGAGGTGTATTGGATCTGAGTCGAAATAACCAAGTCCCGAAAAATGGTCTGTGTGTATGTGAACACTCTAGCTAGAAAACGAAAAGTCGTAAGAAACTGATATTATTTATTTAAGATAGGTATATGCCTTAGATGTCCTAGCAACTTTTTCCGTGATATCGGCTAACCGGAAGTGCTACTTAATATCAACGCGAAACACATTTTTACAATTTTCTCAAAAACGGCTATAAGATTTTGATTAAACTCGGTTTATCATTGTATAATTAAGTTGTCATTAATTAATATCATTTATTTTTTATCCCCCTTGATGTCACTTTACAGGACTTAAATGTCCAATATTCATATGCATCTTCCTCTAAAGTACCTTTAATGTGGTTCATTTAAAATAATTAACTATCTCTAATTATTAAGAGTTACGAAAAAATGCTAAATAGAACTTTTGAAATTGAAATTTGATAATTGAAAAATGGAAAAAAAAAAAAAAGGGAAAATGATTATTTAGGTCGAAAATGAATTTCTGGAAATACTAGTCAGAAGGTATACGTACAATATATCGTTGGAAAGCGAAGAATTTTAGAAAAAAAAAATATCTAATATAAAAATTCGTAGAAAATAATGCAGTGTGACGAAAAAATATAGATAATAATTTGGTAAAACTAATATTATTTAACGGAAATAAACTACAATATAATTACTAAACTAAATATAATTTTTTTAAGTTTGAAAAAATTATTTAAAATCCACCTAATCCAGGCAATGACATTGTTTAAAAAAGTATTTCATAGTACTTATGTCAAAGAAGAAGTGAAATATAAAAATATTTCATAGATGTAAAATGTTTATGACCTTAAATACATTTACTGTAGTTTAATAACTCTTTGTATGATATTATATTTAAACATCCGTTTATTCCGAAAAATCGTCATTTAACATTTAAAAAAAATTAAATTACTGAATAATTTGATGAATTTTCCCTTTATGAAATCCAAACATTATCCGCTTAAAGTTAGTGTAAAAACCTTCGACCTAACCATGGCAGGCAATCAAAATCTCGTAATTTCTTTGTAGTAAACTTTACAATGGAAAATGACAGTTTAATAACTAATAGACGTACTATCCATAATCATTTATAGATTGAACATAGAGATATACTTTCGAATCTCTCATGGCATTTATATATTGACTATTGTATATATATTGACTATTGTTATATATATATATATATATATATATTGCTCTGAGACTGGAGTTATGTGCTTTACAAAAACAGATGGAGTACCGAAGTTTATATTGTCTACATCTGATATAATTAATAGAGTTTTTTGCTATTTTAATGTTGTTAATGATTTGGTAACTGTAAACTTGAACCTATAGCTCATCAAGTTTTTCTAGTCTAGAGTGTAAATGTCAAGATTTATTTCAAGGGTCTGCCTCGAAATTAAGTCAAATATCAAAGGCATGATTTAAACCAGCGCTGCAGTTGCAAATTCGCAACTTTATAGTGATAAAACTAGACGCAACCTAACTAAATACTGATTAATTAAAATTCTTACTTTAATTTTGTAATTTTAGTTTCGCACAAGTTACGTTTTCGAGGTAGGTTGTTCACATTCACACAGATACATAGACTGTTTTGCTCGACTAGATTGATTATTTATACTCAATGAGGGGAACTAAAAACGAATATTTCTGTTGAGAAATCGGATTAGAAATTTTTCAAACGCTTGCAATTACGATTACAATACTTTTCCTTACGATATATTTCACATATAGATAAGTGAAAACAATAATAGAATTCCTCTCGCTTTTGTTTCTCAGTCGCTGAATTTTGCTTACACGATTCCACCTGCATTGATTGTGGCCATCTGCCCGCGTAGCAGATCTCAAGACCAATCCTACAATGTCTACAAGGAAAGAAGGCTCTTGCCTAGATCCTGTTCGTGCTTCTTTTTTCTCAATATCTAGTTACTCGTTCTTCGTATCCTAATACAAAGCATGGTTCTTTGTAGCGTGCGTGCGTGTGTGTGATTTGTAATTTATAAGACCATATTTGCAAATAGTAAACAAGGTGTTGACCTCAAAAAATATATATATCTGAAATAAAAGAAAAAGCTCAGTACGGTTATCATTTTGTTTCGAGTTTACGAACAATAGTTGCTAAAAACCTTTCTATGTTTATAAAAAAAAAATGTAAGAATAAAACTAATTTCAATTAAAAATATAATATATTGTGGAAAATTCTATATAGTCACTTGAAATATAATTAAAATCCCAAGAAAAATAGCCATTTAAATTGCACCCTTGTAATATAAGAGTGTAATGAAAGAAGTTCATTTTTAACTTGAACTAGGCAACCCCCGGGAAATTCCAGAAGCTCATTTGAAAGATACTTAAATTGTCTATTTTAAAAACAAAAAACCCCGTGATCTCCTAATGTAGTCATATCATTAGAGTGCTACCATTGGGTAGTTACTCAGCAAGTGTATTCATGTCATTATATCAATTATGTCCAAATTTACTTGATGTATTTATGTAATACAGTTGTAAATGTCATAAAGAAATAAAAAAAAAAACAAAAAAAATCTCGATTAGATCAATATAAGCGAGGATACAGAAAAGGAAAGCTAGATGAGTTGTTATATTAGATATCAGGTCATTTAAATTACATGTGGCTAAGGCTACTCGTTCATTTTATCAAGTTTTTGTGAAAATCAATTCATGGCTTCCTGTTATTGAATTAATGAAGTGATTAAAACCTCACATTATTTTGATAAAAAGTTTCTCAACGACTCGAACTAATGAAGTTTCGAGTAAAATTACAATTGACATAACTTCTTACTGGAATTTATATTATTAGCTTTATTGATGAATTATATTTAAGGTGAAGGAACATAAATTTATTAAATGCCTAAGGTAGGGATGATTCAACTAAAAATCCATTTATTGCTTGCTATTAGAAACGTTACCAAAGAACACATTTTGAGTGATGGAGTTCAATTATCCTTACAACATTATCTCTTTTGGGTTTTTAAAATCGTTTGAGTTAGTACTGAGAAATTGGAGGGGAAAATAAAAACTCACGTCTAACAAATTCTCCAAATACTGTTCCATAAATATTTTCCTTAACTAAGAAAGAACTTGAATGGAGAAAACATTAATTATAAAAGTTCCGAGTTGTTTAAGAACTTGAATTAATGGTCTTAAACAAGCTTCAACGTGGAAAATTTTATTATGAACGTGCTTATGATAAAGTTCTCGAACTTTAGACAAAATGATCTAACACCAATGTCTTTATATTGTTTCAAATAAAAACATGTAATAAATCAATGACTTTAATAACTAAAAGTTGATAGTTATTTTGAAACCCAACATCTTCTGAGGAGGTCATACATCATACCGATATAACAGACGGCAAAAAGTAAGTAGATAAGGGTTGAGGAACAGTAACGGTATCGGAGGAAGGACTGCGGCAAAGGTCACTCGGACGTCCGCGATGGGTTCACCGCCCGCAATCATCGCTGCGAAGTTATCCGCGCACCATTAGCCTATAAAATGGCTCCGAACCTGGGCAGTTGTCCTTATCGCATGCCTAGCCACATTGGGCCACTCCTGACATCCAGGGTTGCTCAATACTCCCTCCATATACGACAGCATTTGGCCATCAAATTCGCCACTCATGCCACATTAGTATTGCATTCAAATTACAACATAGCCTATGCCAATGTATTAGACAGCTATGCAACTGTACAAGAAAATATTTTGATAGATTTTAGTGGTTTAGTTTTCAACAGACAAATCCTCATTCAGGTCGTTGCCGCTCTGAATCGCTACGGTTTTGTTAACTTTTAAGAAATGGAAAATCAATGGGCATTATGGATGTTATTAATGTGGTTTTGGAGATCCCATATACCCTAGAAGATGAATTCACGGTATTTTTATTATGTAAATCGTGGGGTGAATACCAGAAGAACCGGGAAGATATCTTCTACTCCCTTCTTGTTCTTTATTGGTCACGCTTCAGTCAAAACCTAAACTATTTTGTTAATATACGACGATGACTGATTTTAGTAGAAAACGTAGATTTTCCGAATGTAGATCTTTAAGTTTTTTTTAAAAACTTGGTAAAAACCTGAAGAATATGTAAATAAGTGGGGCTCATGAAACACCGTCACCGTCTTATAAAAGTTAAATTTTACATGGCGTATGAATAAACTTTGTTTTATTACAACCTTGTCCCCTTCCGACGATAGGTGACAACGCCAAAAGGGGTACCCTTAGCCAATCCTTCCCCACCGTTGGTTCGAGGATGGAAACGACATGAATGACTCTCTGACAAGTGGCTCTCACAGTTCCTCACCGAGCATGAGAGTTTCCGTGAAAAGCTTGTTGAATATTGTAATCCGAAAGAGTGTGATCTCCTTTAACTAATGACCATTGAGAACCACCCGTACTTCAAGGCCTTTCTATGTGGATGGATCTGGTTGGTTCAACCAATTTCCCCTTGGGTAGAAAAGATGAATCTGCATCCACATGGCCGCCAAAAAAGGGTTGAAGAGCACGTTGGCTGGAAAGAAAAGCATACAACTGGATAAAAATACGTAATTGGTTTGATTGCAACAGCGAATTGTAATGCAAGCATACGTTGCTACGCATTGCTGCATTAGTCCGGCGGGGTTTGTAATGAATAACATAAAATCTTATCCCTTTAACGGAAGTATGAAGAAATGTGAAAGTAGATGCTACCGTAGTAGTTGACGCTTTCAATTTGAATATAAATTTTATATTGAATTGGAGAATTAATTGTGATGAAATCCCTAAAATGAGAATAAGACTACAAATTCCAAAAAACTTTTAGAAAAAGCCTGAAATGGTAATTGATTATTTACCTGCCAATGTTTTGCCAAATCTATTTCATTCTTTCAGGATTATGATTTATATTTTCTAAATTATGTTTACAAATACTAGTCTTAAGCAAATAGTTATTTATTTTTGATTTTTTTAAAAATAAGAAGTAATTAAATTATTATTGATGTAATAATTCTAGTCATGAAGAAGCCTGAGTCTGGCAAAAAATTTATAGCTTACTTGTAAACTTAGAATAAGACTTAAAAATGTTCATAATTGTAATTTTAGAATGTATATTTGGTAAAGTATATTTTAAAACACTGAAATCAGAATGATTATTTTTTTGTTCAATAACTATAAACTGAACTATTGTAGACTCCATTATTCAGTTTCTTAACTAATAAAATGTTTATTTTACGAAATGCAGTCGGTTTTAGAAATCTCTTGAAGAAACACGGAAAAAAATGTTGGAACCGTAAGACTAACATAAAACTTTCCAAGTGAAAGTGTTTACTGATAAATGGTGTTTAAATTAATTTTTTCATTAATTTCCTGATACCACCCCTCTACAATACTATTACACAATCTTGATTAAATTGTTTTGGTATTATATTTTAAATTTAGATTTATACATGGTAATTAATATGGTTTTTGAACATCTGCTGCGATGCATCTCAACTTTCATCTATCATTTCATTTAATCAACAGTTTTAAATATATATCCTTCAAAAGTTGTTTCATTATATATTTGAATGTATATATTGTAATTGTCTAATAAAATCACTGGAGGGTGAGAAAAAAAAGAAAGTTGTTTCACTGAATTCTGTAATATATTATAACTCGACTGGTTAGCTTTATTTGTTGTAAAATTTATTTAATAGGATAATTCATATGAGATAATTAATGTTTTCTTATTTATGTTTCAGCTTGTAACTGCAACGGCTTTTCCAACAGATGCGTTTTCGACAAGACCCTTTACGAAAAAACTGGTCACGGAGGACATTGCATTGACTGCAGCCACAACCGAGACGGGGCTAATTGTGAACGATGTAAAGACAATTATTACCAAGATAAGGAAACTCTTGCTTGTGTCTCATGTAACTGCGATGAAACAGGTAGTTAACTAAATGCATTACTGATTAATTAATCTCTTGTTAAATGGCTTAATTAGTTCATTATAATAAAATATATATGTCTTAAATCAGTTATATTCATTGCTTTGAGGACTTTAGCACTTCGATGGAGACAGAGCGCAAAATTGTACTTCCATTCTACAAGTTGGATTTATTGTATCAATTACGTTATTGTTAAATATGATATGATCCGATTTGTAATGATATCCTTTTTTTTGGTGGTTTACATTAGACTTTTTTATTCCCCAGTCGAGATATCTCACTATATTTTCTCAGTGAGGAAGAAGAACCGGTCCTTGCCATCTTGATCTGATTGTTATCAAATCATTTTGAACTCTACCAGACAAAACCTACTTTCACCGCCCACAGCTTCTTTACTTCAATAATGACTAATTATTTTTTGTTTAAATCACTTTTGATTCTTCCTTCTTCGTCCGCAATAGAATGTCTTGGTGCGATAGGAAGTGAAATCAACTATGATATGCTTGGAAGCCTCCTGGACGTTGTATAAGTACATAGATAATGCCCGTGAGGAGTTGAGACATGGATTAGTCTGGGAAAACACACATTGCTTCCAAGCTTGACTTGACGGTTGGAAACTACTTCCTAACAGGAATGGTAACTTTTCTCCCTTCCTCGACTTTTTCGTCTGTATGAGATTTTTCCCGAGCCAGGGGAGAGGGCGGGGATTAATGCCAGAGTTAAAAGTTCCTCGGTATCGCGATAATCTTCGGTTTATCTGATTGCCAGGCAATGCGTAATTTGCACACGCCTCAGCCCTTCCCCTCTCGGCCATCTCGCCACCTAGAGAAAAGGAAACTACTTCATTTACTAATCGTCAACCACCGTCTCTTCTATTCTTCAGCAGTATTCTTCCGGATATTCCTGTTCTATCTTCTTCAGTCCTCGTCGATCTTCCGCCTTAAATCATCCAGGAAACTTTACTGAACCATCATTCTTAATTTTAACCTATAATAGTTTTCTTTTAAAAAACTGTCCAGCGGTACACCTCCCGCTAGTACTGCCTCATGATAGAGATGTAAACATCGAAAAAATATATCGATAATTTTCAAAAATATTGAAACATAAATTTCATATATCGGCAACATTTATTGATATTTCAAAATATCGGGCCTTTGAAGTTTTTGAATTGACATCTCTGATTTTTAATAGCATTATTAGCTGTAATTAAATGCTTATTAATTGCTTATCAAGAACAACAGTAACTTTAAACCAGAGGTGCCCATCCTCCCTAAAGTCGATTGCGCAATAACCTACCAGCCCTCCTCCCTGGAAGATATTTTATTGATCTCCTTTTCTTAAAAACGGAAGAAGGTGAGCTAGAAGTAGAAAAATCGTAGATCATATACAATTACACTTGCTGAGGTCTGTTCTGTATTTCTCCCTTGTCCTTTAATCCGAAAATTTATAACCCCGTCGAAATTTGTCCTCTCCCCCCTCAAAAATTCAAAAACCTTTCAAAATATGCCCCCCACAAACATTTTGATAGCGCAACTTACGCCATAAAACCCTCTTCTGGGCACCCCTGCTTTAAGCAAACCGGGGCAAAGACCTCGAGGGAGGCCCGTTCCGGCATCTTAGATTTTCACCTAATTACTAAGGGTATAAAAGTACTGAGGGCTTCAAGGTTCTAGTGGCTCCACATCAAGGGCTTTTTCTTTAAATTTTTTTTATGAGGTCTCAAAATTAAATCTCCCCTTTATCCCAATTGTTCTAGGTACACCTCTAGTTTTCTGGTCCTCTTTATCATTAATGAATTCATACTTGCTTCAGATGGCTGAGTATTGTTAATCCCTTATTAATAACTTGGCTCGACTAGGAAATGGCAAGAAAAATTTATTCTCTGCTCTGGATTGATTATTTTTTGTTTCCTCCCTTTTTCACTACCTACAGCAGGCATGTAAGGTTTTATGAGCCACTTTAATGATGTGTGACGTAACAATGGACTGAACTTATTAGAATTTATTAATATAAGAAAGGAGTAAATTTTTGTTGTTGCACTGTTTCAGTAAATTTTTTATATGTGTCTTAATTAATATGTATATACTTTCTTTCACTATTTTTTTTTCATATCATTTCAATAGCATTTGATGTTAACCACAAGCAGATCCAGGATTTAATTTTATGATATTTTAGCCTGAAAGCTTTTATATATACATATATATATATATATAAGCTAACTAGAAGAAAGATCCTAACTACTTAGAAATAGTGTTTAAGTGATTCTTGAAGTCCTATTAAATGTAATCACTTGAACAATAATACTTTCAGCCCGAAAGCTCTCCCTGTAGATCCGCCTGTGTGTTGAATGAGTTAGTTATCGCATTTTCATACCGTAAAAATTTTCGATTATTTAATTTTTTTCCTATACAAACAAAAAAATTAATAGAAGATACCCTTCTGCAAGAAGAAGAATCGTATCTAAAGTGATTACTCATATAACCAAGAGTATGAACTTTGCTCCACACCTCACCAATTAACAACATGGTACAGCGTTGAGAAAGTGTAATTTTTATAATATCATTTATTGGTTTTGCTTCATTAATTTAAGTATATTTTATGATGATTTCTTCAAAATAATAATGAAAATAGAATCTTGCATTTATCTGATTTAGGCATCCTTCCAGCTGTTCTATTCAATTTTTAGCGGTTTTATTCAATTTTTCAGCATCTTGTTAGATTTTAGAATATTTTACTTTGGCTTTATTTAATTTCGAATCCTGGCTCATAGCAGACAAATTATTTATTCTGTTTATTATCAATTATCATTGGCCGTGGGGGGACCCTGGGGTAGGGAGACCCTCCTGAGGCAGCCTCTACAAAGTGGGTACCCTTAATTAAATAATTAATTATGGGGAAAACCTGACGGTTGAGCTTGATCCTGGTCCGATCCCCTCCTTGCACAGCTGTTGGCCTTAAAACAGTACTTTCCCTAAATAGTACTAAACCCAAGACCCTTTATGGGTTGTAGTGGTACAGTTGTTTTTTTTTTTTTTTTAATTTGTCTAACAAAATAATTGCACATCATGGATTTAAAAGAAAATAATGATCTTCCTCCTGGTTTATGCTATGCGACTAAATTGAGCTTTCACTACTGAATCTGCAGTGGTCCCCAGAGGCACTGTTGGACATCTCCCTGTAGTGATAAAGAGATAGAATTGCATTTTTTGTCAGAGGAGCCATTTTCTCCTTTTATTTCTCATTTTGTATTCATTCAACATGTATAAATCTCAATTTTAAAATGAAGAAAAATATATTTTTTATGAAGCACAAAATACAAATTAAATTTAAATAATTTTAAAAAACGTTCATTTATGCACATAAATTTTAACAAGAAATTATCTTATAATAAAATAAGAAGAAAATACTTAATTTTTGCTTTCTCTTTTCCAAAAGCATTAAAGCTTTTGTATTAATGCTGAAATTGAAATTAAGGTAAGAATGGATAACACTCGTAATTACTATCTTTCTAAAGAATGTTCTATAAATTCTCAAAATAACAATTAGATAATGTTAATCAACTGATTTGAGGACTTAACTTCAAACTTAACATTGAGTCACAAAAACATTTCCAAAAAAAAAAAGTGAAAAAGCCACATCTAACATTGCTTCAGCCACCATTACAAATGGTAAATTATTTTATAAACTAACATTGTAAATAGTAGTTGGTGATCAATAACTGTAATTATATTCTATAGCTATATATCTACTTTTTAATTTCAGTGGAAAATAGCCATTCTTTTTTTGTTTTGTTTTTTTGCCCAATCCATCCAATGATCAAATTATTCACTATAACAATTAACTAATGGTTAAACAAAATAAAAGTTGATGACAACTATATTTTTTCTATAGGTTCAAGAAGTTTACAATGCAACAGTGAAGGAAAATGTGATTGTAAACCTGGTGTTACTGGTGACAAGTGTGATCACTGTGCTGCTGACTATTATGACTTTGGTGCTGCAGGGTGTAAAGAATGTAATTGTCTTGCAGCAGGAAGCTTAGGAAATGAACCTCACTGTGACCAAGTTCATGGAAACTGTCTTTGTAAGGCAAATGTTGAAGGAAAAGAATGTAGAAGGTATAACTGTAGTAATACAAAGTTTTAAATAACCAAAATTTAACTGTTATTTTATTTAAAAATAAAGTCATTTAATTTTGTGTTTTTTTTTTTCAACTTATTCATTTATTTAAGATTTACCATACACTAAACTTGATTATGCTTAAACCCTATATCATAACCCATTGTGCCCACCAGGGGTGCCCAGAAGGGGATTTTATGGTGCAAGTTGCACCATCGAAATCGTTGAGGGAGGCATATTTTGACGAGTTTTTGAATTTTTGAGAGGGGCTCATTTTAACGGGGTTATGCATTTTCAGAATGAAAATTTTTAGAATAAGAGACAAGGGAAAAACATGGAACAGACAGGAGCAATTATAAATGTGTATGATCTACAATTTTTCTAATTCTACTTTCTCTTGCTCTGTTTTTAAGAAAAGTGAGCAATAAAATACCTTGGGATTAAGGGGGATAAAGTTCTTGCGCCATCCACCTTGGGGGAATGGGCACCTCTGGTGCCCAATATATACATATGTATATTTTTTTTATTTCTCTTACCTATTTTTATTAAATTTAAAAATAAAATTGTACATTATGTTCAGTAAGTTGTTCCCACATTAACACAAATATGTTATGACTTTAATCTCAGAGGGGGGAGCGGGGTAGCTCAGTGGGTGAGCACTGCAACCAGAGCTCAAGGTCCCAGGTTCGAATCCGGCTGATGACTAGTAATTTTTCATCAGCCATGGGTCGACCCTAGGGCCGGGAGACCCTTCTGGAACACACTCAGCCCCTATAAAGTGGGTACTCTTAATTTAGTAGGAAAACCTGGCGGTTGAGCGTGATATTGACTAATCACCTCCCTGCACAAACTGTTGTCCTTGCAACAGTACTTCCCATTCTTCACATTGTACTGAACCCAAGACCCATCATAGGTTAATAGTATAGGTATAGGTTTTTTTTTTTTGCAGGTTTAATCTCAGAATGTTGTCTACTTTTTTCTTTTTTGTTCCAGATGTAAACCAGGCTTTTTCAGCTTGGATAAGGATAATGAATTTGGATGCACTCCTTGCTTTTGTTATGGTCACTCTTCTGTATGTAATCATGCTACTGGATATTCAAAAGGTTGTTAAATTGCATAATAATGATGGAATATTTACAGTTCTACTAAATCAAGAAAGAACAATTAACACTATGCTCTCTCAACTCAAAATAATGCCTCATTAAAAAAAAACAATGAATTGAAAATGATTGTTTTGAGAAAATAATTTGAATGCTACAAACTGTTATTACTTGTTATGTTTATTGCAGGATTTGTAACGTTTTAGTTGAAAAATTATTTATTTTAGATCTTTTTATTTTATTTTTATTCATCAAGTCTTTTTTTTTTTATCAAAAAAATGAAATATTTGAAAAATATTTCTAATTGTGAATTCTTGATTATCAATCAACATAAGAAATACATGTTTAAATGTTATCGAAATCATAAAAACTGAAAGTTCTAACTTCTTAATTTCTTTATGTCCTAAACTTCTAAAATGTTCTAAAAAAGTTTAAATATTTTTTTTAACTGTGGGTGATATTCTTGAAAATCTTTTTATAAAATGCATAAAAATATAGTTCAAACAGTGATTGCTTTCTTTTTGTTACGTATTTATATGATAATTAATAATTTAATGGTAAAACTCAAAAAGAAACATAAATGAAAAGCTTGGTTATAATTTGAAAATTCTAAACACAAAGCCTAAAGCTTTAAAATGCATTTAAAACATACTAATTTGTCCTTTTTTGCTTATTCTGGTATCATCAGGAAAGAAACAACCTAAACCACAATGTTTCTGCCCTGATGATCCCTTATTAAGCAAAACATTAATGCTCTGTTTTTGTTCACCTGCATTGTAAAGTCTTAGGCTTTGTTTTCGGAATCAAATTATAACCTAGCATTAAAATTTACTTTTAGAACAATTTTTTTGTTAACAATATTGTATAAATCAACAATTTTTTTAAACATTAAATTTATCTATTTTTATTCCAGTTGTCATTGAAAACACGTTTGCAAGAAATGCAGAGCGGTGGACTGCTCAGACCAAGTTCCAGAAACCAGTGAATGTACAGTATGATTCACTCACCCAAGTCATTTCTGTAGCTGCTACTGATAAAGAACCAGTTTACTTTTTAGCTCCAGGTAATTGTGATCTGATGAAATATTGTTAATATTTCTTAGAAATATATTATTTTAAATATTCTAAAGATTAGTAAAATTCAAATTATTTTTATTTTTTTCACTAAAAAGTCATATGAAAAAAGAGGGGCATTTAGTTTGTAATATATGAGTATAAAAAGATGAGGACAATGTTCTCCAAAATATTTTACTGGAAAAAAATACAAATAAGTAAATAAAAACTTAAATCTAATATATTAAAAGTTCTAAAGATTAACAAAATTCAAATTATTATTTTTTTTTCACTAAAAAGCCATATGAAAAAAGAGGGGCATTTAGTTTGTAATATATGAGTATAAAAAGATGAGGACAATGTTCTCCAAAATATTTTACTGGAAAAAAATACAAATAAGTAAATAAAAACTTAAATCTAATATATTAAAAGTTAAATCTAAGCCTTCCCATTAAATTAAAACAAATAAGTTTTTTTTTTTTTACAATCTAACATGGGTCTGAGAGATTTCATCATTACTGAGGACTGGTGAGAAGGGGTATACAAATTAAACTTATTAAAAACTGAATGGATACTTCCATACATTATATATAATCAGTATATTTGTATGAATATATTTTTATAAGATAAGTTAGTTGGGGTCCGATATCTTTTGAATGAGCAGCCTAGAAGAAGGCCTGAAACTTAGACCTAAAGTTGCACCACTTTAATTACATACACTTTCTTTTCTCATATTTTTTCAGAAAGGTTCCTTGGAGATCAGAGAGCTGCTTACAATCAGGAGCTAGAATTTAAGTTGAGAGTTAATGAAAGAGGCGTTGCTTCAATAAATGATGTGATTCTTGAAGGAAACGGTATCCAAATCTATCAGACTATTTTTGGACAAGGGAATCAACAACCTGGTACAAATGTATGTTCTACTAATTTTTTCAGCTAATTTTACTAATTCACGTTGTCTGTAACAACATATTGTTTAGAAAGGGGAATAATAATGACCTTGAAGTTTCACTCATCATATTTTATTGTTTGACACTTTGGGTTTTACGACCTATTTTGAAAAACATTCAAAAGGTTCCAATTTGCCCAACAAGTCACTTTCACCTTGACCCGTTTGGGCCATTCAAATAGTTTACCAACATCATTAATTATTTATTAATTGATATTACACTATTTATATTACTTTAGTATATACTTACTTCTATAGATTCACAACTCATTGGAGAGTCAAGGCTTCCATCAGTCGGAGCCGCCAGTCTTCTCTGTTCTGTGCTGCTGCTTTCCAATTTCTTACACCCAGCAGCTTTTGAGCATCTATTCCCATGCATCTGTACACCCTGTAGCCCATAATAACATCTATTTGCTATCATTATCGGTCTCTGCATCTCTGGTTGCATATTATTAGTTGAGTTCAACAGTGTCCCAAGGTGGATAAATACCTCGACACATACGAAATTTAATTTTGCATGATTTGTTGAAAATTGTCCCTCCTAATTGGATTCCTGACTCTCTTATGGCACATTTCAATGCAAAATTAAAGAGCAAGAATGCTAAACAATCACCTTTTCTGAATCCCTTGTGGCTATGGAAAAACTCTGATGTATCTCCGGACACTCTCACCTTCATGGTCATTCTGACAAGGTGGACTAGCTTCGAAAGGATATGAAGGGCAATCATTCCATCATAAAGCACCTCTTAAATCATGCTGCCTAGTAGGCAGCTCGGAAATCCACAACGAGATGGTAGGTCTGGATATTCTCATCATTTGGATTTCTCACCGAGAAGATTTAGTCCATCGTAGCTTTTTCTTTCATAAAGTCTGCTTGATATTGGCCTATTCTATTTTCAACGAAAAGGTATATTGGAAAATATCTTATAAGCAGATGGAAGGAGAGATATTCCTCTGTAGTTCTCACAATTAAGAGAGTCTCCCTTCTTGTGAATGGGGGATACGACAGTTTTGTACCATTCTTCAGGAATGCATTCCTTTACCCAGATGTCCAAAATCAGGTTCTCTATGTACTTACAGATAGTTTCTCTTCTAAAGTTCAGTCGGTATTCCGTCCATACCTGGTGCTGGTCTTTTGTTTCTATAATATTTCACAGAAGCTCTGGTGTGCCTACTCTAGTTCATCATGCGATATGCAGCGTTCTTCTCATTTGTAGCCAGTTTACATTCCAAATCAAACCAGAGTGCCCCTTTTTCATTAGTTTTCTGCCCGACGATCATTGTGCATTATTTCTCTTAATATTTCCCATCTTTTGTTAATTGTTGCTCCTGGTTCTACGTTTTGTACTATCGACAGATCTATTGAACTGCTGATGTATAGAAGGTTCTTTTAACCTATGCATTTCATACCGCGTGGTTTTTTTAACTTGCTTGCTATGATTCAGTGATATCCTGGCATGAAGGTAGGTCACCAACAGGTAGTGGTCTGAATTAATATTTGCTCCTCGGTTTACACGCACATTCCGTATATGAACCTACATATCCTACTTATCAGAATATGGTCTATCTGATTTGTGGTGATTCCATCATTGGAGCGTCTGATTGCAAGGTGTATTCTCTTGTGATGAAACAGAATGCCAGCTACCAAAAGATCCTTAGCTGCCGCAAAACTAACCAGTCTCTCTCCATTATCATTCATGAGTTTATGGATATTGTTTATTCCAATGGTAGGATGAAAAACTGATTCCCTACCAATTTAGATCTCCAATTATAATTTTCACGCTATGTTTGGGGATTGCATCGGTAGCTTGCTCAAGGACATCGTAGAAGTCATCCTTATCTTCATCATCCAATGTATGTATGGTGCATGCACGCTTATGAGTGAAAAATTGCTATATTTGTCTTTTAGACGAAGGAGTCATCCTCCTGCTAACAACAAATCCAGTCCCATATACGTGATGTTGATTGTCGCAGCTGTAGTAGATCGAATGGTTCTTGCTCAGAATTCCCTGTCTGGTCCATCTCATCTCTTGGATAGTAGCAATGGCTATTTTATATGTTTCTAACTGGTTGAGGAGCTGCTGTAAATCTCCAGGTCAGTATAGTGATAAAACATCCCAGGAGGCTATTTTAAAGTCCGTTAGACATGCATTATGTGGTTTCCTATTAATCTGTCAGGCTTTTCTTATTATAATATCAGGAGACTTTAACACTTTAATGGTTGCAAGTCAAAGCAGTCAAATATTACCAGGAACTGGAATTATTATGCATCACACACATGTTGTGTGATGGCCACTAAAGTATTAATGCAAGAACATGGAAATATAATTATGCTACAAAAATTTTTGTATACCCATTTGGTGGTGAAATGGTCATCAATAAAAATGTTTGAAGGCTAATAGATTCCTGTACAAGCAACTCATCGTTTAATCTCAAAGTGATAAAGTTTGTGGTAGGAAAGCAAAGCTAGTCAGGAATGGAATGAAAATAATTTTATTATTGTGGGACTAGTGTCTCTTTAGAACAAATTATAAATGCAGAATATAAATAAACCTGTCAGTGTGTTCATAACTTAAACTAAATATTTACAAAGTAATTGGTAATATAAAATAAAAATAAAGATAATAGAAAGATAGAAAAAATCATTCATATTTATAAAATAAACAGAGAAAGATAAAATAAATAAACAAAATAGTATCTGGGAGTATTTAAGGAGTTCTCTTAAATGTATTTCATGATCAATCGGATTGGGAATGGAATAGGTGCTTAAAGAGGAGAGATTTGAAAGATGAAACTCATTGTGCGTATTGAATATCGGTAGAGATAGAATTCTAGAAGGAGATAGCTTGAATTACAAAGGATTTTTCAAAAGCAGCAGTTCGGTGAGGAGAATAGAGGTTGGACAAACAGGATCTGGTGGAACAGGATTGAATGAAAGATTTAAATTGTAAGCTCTGTAAAATACAAGAGGAATATTGAGTTTCCATCTGGTTATTGACCTTCCATATAGTCTTTTGCCAACTATTGAGGCATTCATTGTTTCATTGTATCAATGCTTCCAGATGGATTGCTCTGAGCTATGAGCCCTGTCCATCTTGATCTCCTTGCTTTCATGCTGTGAAATATTGAGTGACTAGTTTCCTCAAACAGTTTTTTCTCCTCCATGTATCAGAACTCTGATCCCAGATTACTCCGGTTATTGTGCAAAGAATTTTTATCTCAAATCTTTCTAGGATGCTGGTTAGTAGTGTCCAGGTCTCACAGTCTTAGATCAGAACTTGTTTTATCAAAACTTTTTACACCCTTAATTTGAGATTTTTTGGAATTTCAATACATTTGAAAGAGAAAAGAGAGCACAAACTCTATTTGTGCTTTTTTTTTGTCCTCCCCTTCCTCGCCTTTAAGGCTATACGGGAGTTTTCCCTGGCACCGGGATGCGAACTCGTGACTATTTTTTTTATCAAAGTCTTATGTATCAGGTTGCCGGGCAACGGTGGTGTAGTGCACACGCGTTAGCCCATTCGGCCACCCCACCCACTCTATTTGTGCTTGTCATATTTCCAACTGTTGGTCATTCATTGAGGTTATTGTAAAGTCAAGATCTTTGAATGTGTTTACTCTCAGGAACGATTTTCCTTCTATGCAGATTCTGTTATTGGGATGGAATATTTAACTTATTATCATATATTTTGTTTTATGTTCATTTATTTGTAGGAATAAGTATTACTTATGATTCATTAATCCTTGCAGTTGGATCTTTTGTATATAATAATTAAATTAAATTAATAAAAATATAATAATATAAATTTATAAATCTTTAGTTATTTGTTTCAGACTATTACCTTTAGGTTCCGATTACATGAAGATCCAGATTTTGGTTGGGAGCCAAGAAAGAAATCTTTGGAATTCATGAGTATTTTGTCAAACTTAACTGCTATAAAGGTTCGAGGCACATATTCTAGAAATGGTAACTATTACATTAGATATATTTGAACATTTAGAGCCAACCATGAAATTTTTAGAGCTAATTATTAAATGTAGTGTAGCTTACGAATGCATGTGTATTGTATAAATGCTCCAACAGAAGCATCTTTACCATCATTATTATATTATTTTCTCCTCAAGCAAAATTGAGTAAATTTGAATTAAAATATAATTTAATTGATATTTGAATTATTACATTGTTTCTGTAATTGTAACTGAATTAGCTAAAAACATCAATTACAGTAATTGAAAAAATAATTCAATTTGGATTAACTGTAATTCAATTAAATATACCTCAAATGTTTGAATTCTTTAGTTAATTCAAATATTAATAGAAATTTTAGGAATAATTGAATTACAAAAATTTCAATTCAATGCAAAATTATTGGCTGCAAAAAGCCAGTAAAATGGCAGACAATATGTTCAGAAAACAGTTTTTCTAAAAAGTATCATTTTTCTTTTATAATTTTTTGTATAAAATGGAAAGATATGTCATGTGTTAGTATATGTTAAAATAGAAATAATTTTCAGTTTCATATAACATTAATATTTCAATTCCTAGTTTTTATTAATTAATTTAATAGTTTTTCTCTTAATTTAAAAAACAAATTATACGATTTGTACAATACAAGAAGTATTTTCAGTTTTTGTTTTGATTTTATGTCACACAACTCCCTCTTTTAGCCTCCAACCTGATAGTGGTAATTACAACTATAAATGAATTACAATTATAATGCAATTACAATTCTTGGTAATTGATATTTGAATTACTGGCAATCATACTCAGTACTTCAATTACATTAAATTATTACAATGTAATTATAATTCATTGTTTTAATTGAATTATTATTCTTGATTTAATTGCAATTCATAAACTACAAATACAATGGAATCGTAATTCTTAATTCAATTACAATACAGTTACCATTTAAAGATTGTGGACGAGGTCTCCTGATCTTAGGAGAATTCTCTTCTACTCCGATCCATGCCTCATTTCATAAATGCCTCTCAGACATCATCTTCCCAGGAGAGGCAAGGTCTTCCTAGTGATTCTCTTCTGATCCATCCTTAGAAAGTGTCTGAATCAACTTAATTTGTGTTCCTTAACCTTTGTAAAAACTGTGAGCGTGATTCAATTATGCTCCATACAATTCTAAACCCAACAATACCCCATTCATGGCCTTTTAAAGATACTAGGACCTTGTCTTCAGCACAAAACTGATTTTAAGGCTTAATATATTACATACACATTCTTATAATTTATCTTGTTTATCTGTCAATTTGGTACAGTTTGTATTTATTTCATTTTTTAATTCTGTGGGATTTTAACTAATTTATTATTCGTCGATTTGTAATTAAGTTTATTTTCTTCTGATTTATTATTGATCAAATTTTAAAAATGTACTTACTTTTTTTTTAGGAATTGGATTTCTTGATGATGTCAAATTGGGTACAGCCAGGAGAGGTGCTGCTGGTCAGCCTGCAGGCTGGATAGAAATCTGTACTTGTCCTAAAGGCTATATTGGACAGTATTGTGAATCATGTGCTGCTGGATACAGGCATGATCCACCAAATGGTGGACCTTTCTCAGTGTGTGTTCCTTGTAATTGCAATAATCACGCAGAATACTGTGACCCTGAATCAGGTTAGAAATAATTAATACTAGCACACACATGCTTTCATATAATTAAATACTCTTACTTATTAAATAAATAACTCTTGTGTTAGATATATACCCTTCTTCCTAACACATTTTAATAAATTGTAATCAATAAAGTATTATCGAGAAAGTATATTCAGCATAAAAATTTGGTTTACTTTACAATGGCTATGTTGAAGTAACTATTGATTTAATAAGTAATAAGCTTGTCATACACAAAAATATCCCTTCACTTTTGTAGTTTATCAATAAGACTCAGCCATCCATAAATTTATACTAAGTTGTGTACTCATTGGGACCTATTGGGTTGATGCTGCAAAGCAGGATTCTTGGTTTGTCCTTCTCTCACTTACTTAATGATAGAATCATTGTTTTTGTGTTATAGGTAGATGCCTTTGCCTGAACAACACAGCTGGTGATATGTGTGAACGCTGTGAACGTGGTTACTATGGAAATGCTTTAGCTGGCACACCTCATGACTGCCAAGTATGTCCATGTCCTAATCAAGGCCCTTGCTATCAATACAATAGCGATACTGTCATATGTCTGGAGTGCCCCAAAGGATATGCTGGTAAAGTTTCTTTGCTTATTGAAATGATTTTCATATTCCCAGAAATTTAGTGTTATTTCATTCTGGGGAAGCTATTTTTGTTCATACTTTTTAATTTTTTAGGAGAACGATGTGATCAGTGCAGTGATGGTTACTATGGTGATGTTGATGGCAACTCTGGTTCAATAAAGTTGTGTAAACCTTGTGACTGTAACATGAATGTTGACCAAAATGCAGTTGGAATCTGTGATTCTGTTACTGGAGAATGTTTGAAATGTATTTATAACACTGATGGTCCACATTGTGATCAATGTTTACCCGGTAATTTATCAAATAAGTACTTACATTTAAAGCTTAAAATTATTAATTATTTACTTGAATACTGATATTTCATTAAGCTTGTTGAATTTTAAAAGTTTCTCTTTTCTTTTTTTTTTTGTAATTTTTAGATAATCAATTATTAACATAAACCAAATAAAATGCAATTATTTAAATCCATTTTATTAGTTCTATTATTATTTTTATTTACTTTTCATATCTTTTTATACCAATTAATCTCATCACATCTTGTATGTATTTATAGAATTCAACTTTACATTATTTTAACTTTATATACTTATATCAATTTTAAAGTTTTTCTATATGTTTTACAATCATTTCTAAATCAAATATTTGCCATAAATAAAGCTTATAATTAAAGATATTTCTCTACTTAATGGTCAGTTTCCGATTCAATGGTTATTATCTTTATACTTTGTTTATTGTTAATGTGAAATCATCTTTGATAATTTACTTATTCAACCTTCTAATCTCATGTATTTTTATATTAAGGATTTTATGGTGATGCTTTGGCTTTACCAAAAGAATGGGATATATGTAAGCCATGTATGTGTGACCCTATTGGTACTGAACAATCAGGAGATGGGCCGCTTTTGTGTAATCAAATAACTGGACAGTGTCAGTGCAAACCGAATGTTACTGGCATAAAATGCAACCAATGTCAACCTGGATACTTCAACATAGAAAGTGGACGAGTATGTATAAATATACAAACTGTTAAAAAAAAAATTATAATTATTGACTGTTTCTGATAAAAGTAATTCTAAAATGCATATCTTAATAGTATTCAAGGATCATAAAGAATGTTCTGACTTAAATTATTTGTTTACATTCAGCTCCCTTTTTATCAAGGAATTTAATTTCTATTGTTTCCTTTTCAGTGATCTGAATTTTTTTACTCTTCCGAATTCTTTGGGCTATAATAACGTCTAATTTCTTACCTTTTTATTATCTCATTTTGGTATAAATGATTTTTATTTCCGATCCAGCAATCCAACACAATACTAGTTTTTAACATAATTGCCATTACTCTCAAGTCATTTATTGTTGCATGCTACCAGTTTATCAACGCTGATGTTTTTCTTCTACCTGAGTCATGGTGTCATTGCTGCTTTGAATTCTTCATCATTTATGAACACTTTTCCACTCAAAACGTTCTTAAGTTTTAGAAAAAAATAAAAATTATTAGATACCAGATCATGACTGTTAGGAGGGTATTCAAAATTATCTTATTTAAATTGTTTAAATTCATGCTTTGAGCAGGTGAATAAGACAGTTTTCCACTGATCTTGTTTAGGATTGCAGATGTTACAAATTTTTTCAGTATGCCACTGAATTTTTTATTTTCCCCTTTCCTAAATTCGAAATCCTAAGGAGAAGTGATGTTTCTTTTTTGGGGGGTTTTGAATGTGTGTTTGTTTGGTTATACACCCTAAACTGTTGCTTGGATTCTGGATTTTTGTACAAAACCAAGTTACATCTCTTGTTAAAATGTGATTCAGAAATTTATTAATTTATTATTAATGTCAATTTGATTCAAAAATTTAAATCCTGCTTCTATCCTTTAAGGGCTCATAACTAAAATGCCAACAGTTTTTCTGGTTTTTTTAATTTAACTTTTTCTTTCAAATCATTCATAAAAAGTGATGACATCCCATTTTGGTCTTCATTGTACACACCGCCATTAGCACATTAGCATTATTGGCCTATGAATTTCAATTGGTTGAGCATTTTTAATGAATTGAAAAATTGACTTAATTCAGAGATAAAGTCCCCTAAAATACAGTGTTCTGATTTTTCTTAGCTTAACTTTCACTTGACAAATATCAGATAGTAATTAACACTGGTTATATTAGTTCAGTAGTGTAATTATAAAGTTGATTTGGTAACTATTGTTTTAAATTGTTAATAATGAGGGCACTATTTATTAAGTACAATTGAAGAATGTGAAGAAGAAAGACACAGATCCTACCTATATAAAGGCTATAGCCAGACTCAAGGGCATTTTGTGCTTTACATACTTCACGTTTGGAATGATTTATAATTGATGTTGCCATCTTGATGTGTTTTAGAATAGACAATAGTGAACCCCCAGCAATGAAACCTGACTCATACTGAGATGGAGAATGGAGCTAACTAGTGCATTTTTCTCCATTGCATGATGAGCAAACATACTTTCTGAACAACCATTGTGTATCTTGCAAGATTTTGGCATATTGAAATCTCATTTAATTAGGAAAATAAAAAAAATAACATTATTAGTGTCTTAAAAATTATATGATTTATTTTGCTGATATCTATAAATTGTATAAATAGATTTTTCTCAATCTTGATATGCTAAAGTATAAACAAATTTTATTATTAGAATTAAAAATTTACTTTCACTGCCATGATTATTTAACCATTATAAAATATCTGGAAATTGGATTGGTTTTTTAGGGGTGCCAACCTTGCGACTGCCATCCAGTTGGTTCCTACAATAATACCTGTGATGTTCAAACCGGACAGTGCCACTGCAAACCTGGGATAACCGGGCGTTTATGTGACCATTGCCAGGACAACTATTTTGGATTTGGTGGACTTGGAGTAGAGGGGTGCTTACCGTGTAATTGTGATGAAATTGGATCCAAGCATCTTCAATGTGACCAGAATGGTAATTGTGAGGTTAGTTCCTTTTTTTAGACAATATTCTTAATTAAGGAATTTATTCTACTATCTTATGATCAATAAGTAAATCTCTCAAAATAACTTAAATGTTCAGAGTAAAAGTTTTTTTTTTTTAATATGGCTATATTGGCTTTCGCCATTAGAGACCTTGCAGCCCAGTACCATTCTGATTTGGACAACATGGTATATCTCATATTCAATAACCTGCATCCATGTGTGCTCCTGAATTATATAGGTTGCAATGTGGTGAGTCTGTCACATCTGTTCTATGCAGATGTTTCCTAAGGTGGTCGTGGCCTGTTATCATCCAGAACTCTGCCACATCTTCCTTTCTCAGCAGATTTGTGGGTACTCTGTCTGCTTCATTAAGCAATTTTCTCTTTTGCTTCATTAAGCAAAATTGTTTCTTTTACAACCTATCAGTGATAAATTCATTTAAGAAGTGTTCAAGTTATTTGTATGCAGATTTCTTTTTGTTTATGATAATATATGTATTTCAAACTCCTTTACATTTGTGTTGATCCTATGGGAACAGGATATAAGGATGCTTGCTGCCTTGACTCTGGATGATCAGTAGTGTATCTTGGCCTGTGGCCTGATGAAGATTGGGAAATTTTTGCTGGACAAAGATCCGGCACCAACAGACAACTAGGCGATGAGTGGGAAGTGAGGGTTGGGTCATCCCCTCCAACATATTATGACTTGCAAAATTTTGAATTTATATTTCATATTAATAAAACAGCATATATCTAAAGATTCGAATACCTTACATGCAGGAATTCCCCATTCAAAGCAATGCTGAGTGCTAGACATCCTACATCTGATATGAAATGTATTGGAAAACTATATGTAGCAACTGATTGAGAGTATAGACCTCAAGGCCGCATGTGGCCTCTGTGAGGTAGCTGCGACCTCCAAATATTTTTGTGTGATATTTATTAATCTAGCACTAAAATTAATTAATATTAAACTATTTAGTTTATGAATATTTGAAAATTAATAGAATTGAGCTTAATATGAGTGTGTGCATTTAATGATAAATAAAAATAGCAACAATAAAATATAAACAATTGCTGCGGCCTCCATTACAACAGACTAATCTTACTGTGGTCTTTAAAATAAAAACCCTAGCCCACCGATGGTATAGACCAGGGGCCTCCAAACTTATTGGCTCACAGGCCACATTAAGACCTCGACTGAGGTTGACCTTGGACTCCACGGGCTGCATTAAGAAATCCACCCAAGCCCTGCGAGCATTGTGACTCCCACTACGTCCCGCGTGATTAAAAAAAAATCTTGTTCTATAAATGACACTTCATATGTTAAATGAGCTTTCTAAGAAATTAACTCCATGCAATAAATGTTGTAATAACATTGTGTGTGAGTAATTTGCTAAATTTCATCTAGCAAACTAGCAAAAACTAGGCAGTAGTTTAGGGATCCCTGGTATAGACCATTAAAAATTTTCACTGCTTATATACTTCTCATAAGTTTTTTATGGAGATGCAAATTACAAAAAGGAAGCATTGGATTTTTATTGCTTATAAAAAAAACAAATAGAAACTTTATTTTTCAATGGACAACCAAGATGATTTTTTTTTTTTTGGGGTCCTCCCCTTCCTCGCCGTTAAGGCTATACGGGGTTTTCCTGGGCCAGGGGGTGTGGGCGGGGATTTAAAAGAACCCCTTGGGCACCGAGACGCGAACTCGTGGCTATTTTTATATCATTTGTCTAGATATCAGGTTGTCGGGCAACGGCAGTTCAGTGCACACGCCTTAGCCCATTCGGCTACCCCGTCCACAACCAAGATGATTATTTTTTTTATTTTTCTAATAGTAAGATTATTGTGATGGAAAAGATTATTCATTCTGTTTTAATATTTAACTGACAATTAAATCTCCTTCTCCTATTTTGGGAATGTTAAATCATTTTTTTATGTTTAAATAGGAAAATTAGAATCCATTACTAATATTTGTAGATTTTATACCCTGAAATTGAAAAATAAAATTTTATATTATTTATCCTGTATATCATATTAGGCTCATCATATAACTAATAAAACAGTTAAATTTATCTATACTCTCCTATACTCTCTCATATTAATAACTTTGTTGTTAAAGATCTCTATAATAATTTGAATTAAGATTTTTCTAATTTGTTAACATTTTTATTTTTCACTTTTAGATTTATAACATGTATCTAAAGTGAAGAAATCATATTATTATGTATTGTACATTATTAATTATTATTGTTATATTCTGTAGTTCCATGAATATGGTTAGTTCTTGACTCTTGAACTATATGGAATTTTGATCTTGATTTATACATAAAATGATCGATCCTCTTCAGATATTATAAAGAATAAAAATAAATTAAGATTGTTCTTCTTTTCATATAAAATAAAGCTCATTGTCTTTTACTTTTGTAACTGATATATTTCAAGTTTTCCATTTATGTATTTGGATATATTGTGTTTTATAGTTTCTTTTCTAATTTGTTACAGTGTTCTGAAAATGTTGAAGGCAGAAGATGTGATCGTTGTAAAGAAAATAAATATGATCGTCAAAGGAATTGTATAGATTGTCCTGTATGTTACAACCTGGTGCAGGAATCAGTTGATCAGCACAGGTATCTTTATAGTACTTACTTAATTATTTAATAGTAATCAAACTTAGAGATTATCAGATTTACAGATTATCTTTACTTCTTTAGAAGAAAAAATATGTACAGCAACAACCCATGATGGGTCTTAGGTTTCATGCTTTACAAAGTATTAATTTTAGTACTTGTACAAGTGTTGTTTTCCAACTTTTTATACCATCTATAATATTTATATACCATCAGTTTTCATCCAACCCACTTAAGGATCAGGCTCCCTCCATCTTCCATTTTGTCTCATAATTTTCGTACTGTTTTATGTGATGGTGTATAAAGTATGAAACTACGTTCAGTAACTGCTTTTATAGCTAATGGTGGAAGATCATTTACAGCACTAAATATTATTTTTCTATAATAAATTTTAGTTATCGTTGAAAAATTATTTTTATTTCTTATTCCCTCTACTCTAAAAGATCATTCTTCATATAGAAAATTCTTTAATAAGGTCATAAATTTTATACCATTATTTCCACTGCCCTCGAGCAAATATTTACTTTTTTATGGTAAACTCAATTAAAAATATTGATTTTGTAAATAGACTATATGCGTACATGTTCAACTGTCATGTTCACCAAGCTTTATCTGCTTATAAATGGCTCTGACTTTCACAGAAAGTAAAAATTTGCAGTGGTCTATGTGGCCTGTAACACTAGTTGACTATAATATTTAACAAATTAAAATAAACAGTTTTTTTATTAATAATCTTTATACTTCACTGCAAAATTGTTTTTTATCATTAAACTTTTTTTTATCAACATTGTATATGTTGATCGTTTTTTAAAAATTGTATGTCTTGGAATCGTTTCTGGGTCTGTAGAAAGTCTGTATGAGTCATGAGCCATACATTCTGTTGGTACACAGTAAGTGTAGTACTGTTAAATTACAACCACAGTAGGAAAATGTTTTCAGTTCTTCCTTCTTCATTAAATTGCCATGGAGGAGTAGACTATGGCCAATCCTAAGACATATATTTCTATCATTCATAGTTTATTGTCTCTCATGTTGAACAATTCATTCTGCCACTCCAGCCAGGCCCTTACAATGATTCAAGATATCTAATTGTTGTGATCAGTTATTGAAATAGACTTAGCCACTTTTTATTACTAATCTTGCCCTTATATCTGCCTTTTCATTTCCAGCAATTCTACTGTGACCAGATTACCATAAAAACAATACCCTACAATCTGTGTGTTTCAGTGTTTTCAAATTTAGAAAATGTTTATAACTATAATTTGAGAGTGTGTAGTAGGTCTAGTGGAAATTGTAGGACAGATTTAGAATCAGAACAAATGAACGAGCAACAGTAATTTGGAATTATATTGCAAACAGCATGGTTGATTTCTAAAAGTTTTGTTGTGTACACTGAGGAGGTTGATTTGCAATGGAAATAAGTGGGTGTGGTTGCCAGATACAATAGCAGTGCCTACCCCTTTGTCTGTTTTTGAACCATCTGTGATGAAGGTCCAATCACGATGAGTGCTTTTAAAGTTTTTAAATGTTTTTACTACTTTTATTGGGAATAAATTACAGCTTATATAGTTTTTGATTAAAGCTGTAATTGGTAGCAGCTATGGTTCTACGTATGGTTCTGATTATGATTATCTGATGTTAATCATTAATATTCCATTTAAACTTTAAACTTAAAATTCCAATTAAACAATTTATTAACCAAGAATTGTATTACATTTAAATAGAAAATGTTATATATTATTATTTATAGTGAATATTTAAAATGGTATGCATCATTTTTTTATGTTCTTCTTTAAATATTTTTTTTTTTATTTGTAGGGCAAATTTGGAGAAACTAGAAAACCTACTGAAGAATATAAAAGAAAACCCAAGTATTGTTAACAATGAAGAAAGTTTTGAACGAGATCTAAAAGAAGTTCAAGAAGAAGTCGAAAAACTTTGGAATGATGCAAAAACATATTCGGGAGGTTAATATCATATACTTTTGAACCACCTAATGTTACAGTTAATTAACTTTTATTTATTTGATAGCTCTTCCCATCTACCCAAGCAGGCCATTAGCAGCTGGTAGCATAACATCTTAAGTATTACATTTTTTTATAAGTTTTCAGCATTAACTAACACTTTCGGTACGGGCTTCATTTTCTGAGAATATCTATTGGCTGGAATACCTGGTGGCTGGTGCATATCTCTTTAAAAAAATTATGTTTATATTTTATATTATAAAAATCAGGAAACAACTTCTAGATGTCCAATTTAAAAAATAATTTTACTCTTTTAAAACTGTCACAGGAGTAGAAAAAGTCTATTCCTATCACTTACAATCCTCTGGAATAGCAAGAGATTGGAAACATTGTGTCCTTTTTTAGGTACTATCCGGACCGAGAGTGTTAAATGCAAAATACTGCTATTTTTATCATAATAATATTAATGAATTCTTTGAATGGATGTTAATTTGTATTTTGAATATTTCAGATGATTCTAAATTAAAAGACAGAATAGATGAAACTGAGAAAAAATTAGAAGCCTTAGAAGAAATACTTTCTAAAGTAGACCAAGATATAGAAGAAACAGATGATTTAGTCCAGGCTGCTGAAAGAAATACTACTGATATTAAAGAAAAAATTGAACATGCTGTGGTTGAAATACAAGTAAACTAAATTTTAATTTACTGTTATGTACTGGAAAGAAGTATAGAATTTATAAATAAATAAAGCTTTCTCATAATAATAGTTATTATTTTATTTTCTGATCAAATTAGAACACAATGGATTATATTCTCACTGACGGAGTTGCTGCCCTGGAAAAAGCTAGAAACAGGTCAATTGAATTTGGCACTCAAAATCAGCAGATGTCAGATATTGCTTCCCATGCCAGAACAACTGTACAAAAGTAATTTGTTATTTAAAGAAATATTTGTTTGATTATTTTTTTGCTCAGAATATAGGACAGCGATAAGTGTTTTTAAGCATTGATGCTGTCAATTTTTGTTTAAAAATATGACTTAATCAATTAAAATGGAATTGACAGAAACTTGTGGAAAGTATTTCATCTAGTTAAGCTCATATTATTTTTTTGCAACAAAGGATGTTATGTTTCATTTCTATTTAATCTAGTTAGCTATAATGCTAACTATGCTTGCATTTTTATTCAAACTTTCTGGTTCACATGTGGACGTGTTAACCTGAGGTGTTGGTATTAATAAAAATGTATAATAACTATGATTGTGTATGTGTGTGTGTGTGTGTGTTTATTGTCCTTAAATAAAATTACTTGCATAATGTTTTTTTACTCAATCTATTTATGTTAATCAGGCAATTGGAAGAAGCAGAGCAGACCAAAGCCATTGCTGAAATGGCATTAAATATATCAAATCAAGGTTTCTTACTTTCACAAGAGGCAACAAAAAAACAATTGAACTCCAGGTATTTGAAATATTTATAATTCTAAAAACTTATTTTTATTTTATTAAAAACAAATTATTGTAAATTTGTCATCATTATCAATTATAAAATTGTTGACCAATACAAATTTAAATATTTTAATTTACTTATAGCTATATATCTTGTTATTTTATTGTTAGTATTTTCTTCTGCTAAAATTAAAAAAAAAAAAATCACACAACAAAAACACAACTTTCACTTACCACCCTTTTCTTAGTAGAAATGAGCATTTTCAGACAAAGCGAAGTGTAAGTAAAAATTATAGACTCTATATTTATTTATATTTCATTGTGGATGTTTTTATTTGTGTAAATACCCTCATATATACAAATTTTAATATTTATATAGCTATAATCTATACAATTAAATATTAAATAATACCAACAATAGCATCTATGAAAACCACATATGTATATTTATATAATATTGTCGGAGTCTGTGTTATACTAATCTCATGATACTTATGGAAGAGTGTTCTAATCTTTTTGGCGAGCTTGGGTACGCTCGTATTCCTTTGGTTCCTCAATTACAGCTATTCTCCGTTACGATCTCTTATTTCTAGTTTAGTTATTTATCAAATTCTTTCATATTTTATATTTAACCATTTATAATATTATAAATTAATGTGAAATGGTCAATTGTTTCAAATAAAAAAAAATTAAAGGCCCATTAGAGGAAGCTAATATTGAAAATTAGCCATTTTAGGCCTGTTAGAGAACATCAATCAGAATGATAACCATATTTTATTTAAAACTGCTTAATTTTACACTGATATGATGAATTTAATCAAAATCGTTAGAGCTGTTTTAGAGATAATTGTAAAAATGTGTTTAGTGCATTATATAAAGTGCCACTTTCAGTTAGCCGATTTTGACGAAAAAGTTGCTATAAGATCCCTGGCATATAAAAACCTTAAATATACAATTTCACTACCGTACGACTTTTTGTTTTTGAGCTAGACTGTTATTAACACACACAGACATACACAGACCATTTTGTGGAACTTGGTTATTTGGACTCAGGAGACCTCAAAACATGTATTTCTGTTGAAATCTCAGATTCAAAAATTTTCACGATCGCAATACTTATCCTTACTATATATTACATATATAGGTAAGTGAAAATAAAAATTGCTGAATTCTATTTTGAGTTTTATCTCCATAAATTATATGTGAAAAAAATATTTTGAAAAATATTATTTCCCTTGACATACAACTATGTTTTTTTCATTTTTTAATGTAATAAATCTTTGGTTTGCATTTATATTAATTACTGCTCTCTATGTTATGTATGCCCATATCCAAGATTAACTACTAATAACTGATTTACTACTATATCTCTACCCTGAAGGTAACTGATACCATTTCCATTTTTCATTAAATAATTTAGTAACAAAAAAACAAATCTTAATAGCTCAAATTTATGGAACATGGGCTCCTTTGAACAATTACAAAAATAGACATGGTGTTATTTACCTCTGGGGTACAGATATAGGCATGAAGTTCATAGATAAATTAATGAAATATTTCTTATTCAGTTGATGCATGATTTATGGTTGTTAAGAAATATTTTTTATAATTTATTTCAATATCATTATAAATATAAGCAAAAATATATGACTAGACAAATATTGGAGTGTAAAAGAAAAACAAATTAAAATCAAATATGTAAATCTATAACCTGACAATTATTATGTACTGCATCCTAAATTTTTAATCTTTATCGATATTTATTAGCCAAAATTTTCTTAACTTTATTAAACTACAAAAAGTTTTTAATTTAACAAAAATCATATCAATTAGTTAATACTTGAAGTGAAATTTACTGTTAACATCTAGTGCTATTTTCTTTTAATGTTTTACCTGTTTTATTTATTGCATTTATTTTTTTATGACACCTTTTCTCTTTCAGTTTAGCTTTAGAGTCTTTGAACTCTGAACTTGCTAACACTCGTTTGCGAATGGATGAAATGGAAAAACTTGTGCAATCAACTCTTAATGATGTATCAGCTGCACATAGTGATGCCCTTTCATTTGCAATTGAAGTTAACAATTTGATCATTCCAGAAGTTGATTTTGCTAGGCTAAAAAGTGAAGCTCAGAAAGCAGAAGAAGAGGTATATTTATTTTCCTATAGCAGTATTACTTATAGAAAATAAATATATATAAATCATTTTAAAAAATAATAGAGATTCTAGCATCAATCAAAAGAAACATTCTATGAAATGTGCTACGTGTATTTGTTAGATATATATATATATATATATATATATATATATATATATATATATATATATATATATATATATATATATATATATATATATATATATTATTTATGGATGTTACCAAAATATGGAATGCAACAATGACCAAAGAGTGGGGAAAGCAAAGCTATAAATTAAGACTCCAAAACCAGTAATATTTTGGATTGCTGTTCGAGATTGTTCATTTTAGTATACTTAATTCAATCTCATCTATTCCAGTTCATTTTTCCATTTCATTCTACTGAAATCCATTCTTTCAATTAGTCATATATTTCAATAGTGTTTTATTTCTTAGTTCAATTTTTCATATATTACTTTTGTTCCTCCCCTTTTAGGCTATATGGGTTTGTCCCAGGCCAGGGGAGAGGGAGGGGGAAGAATACCAGAGTTAAAAGTCCCCTGGGCACCAGGATTTGAATCTGTAATCTTTGGCTTTTCAGGTTGCAGGGCAACGTGTGTTTTGCACACACATTAGCCCGCTCAGCCACTTCACCTCCTATTTGTTTGCATTTTTTACTTTAAGCAGGGCTGTTTATTGGGTCGTAGGCGCTCGGGGTGAAATTAGTCCAGGTCCCCATCACATCATCACACTGCCCACCATACTTCACATCCCTCCAAATCAGTTAGTAGTCTTATCTTCTCATGTTTATAAGTTATACTTATTATACATAGTATACTAGTATAGTTATTATACCTCTGCACTTCCACCAATGGCTAATAAATTTCTAATCACTAGCAAGCTGATCATTTTTTTTTTAACAACAGCAGCTGGATCTGAGACTAGACATAATAATCTCAATTTGTCAACATATTTTGTTTAAATGTTTATACAAAGATGAATCAGAAAATGAAATGTGGGTAGAAATAGCTATGTATGTTCTCAAGAATATTTTATATTCTTTATAGTTTTCTCTCTGATTTGTAACATCCTTTTGTTTTCAGCCTAGCCATCCAACTTAAACGTAAAAATAAATTTGGTTTAATAATGTTAAAAGCAGTATAAACATATTATGATTATATGTTTCATTTTACAGTAGTTAATTAAGTTCACTACAAAGATAAAAATATTCTCTTTGTCAGTGGATGTTGAAGAGTTCAGCAGTTTTTATTTATTTTTTTTTAAACTGTAATTCATCATATAAATTCTAATACCATCTGAATCAGTTCTCACAACTTTACAAGTGGTTAAAATTATAAAATATTGCTAATGATCTTTTTATAATTTACAGCATATTTCAACCTTAAGTAGTCTTAGAAACATACAAGAGGGTGCCTCAATAGGAAATGTTAGTAATTGAAGTAGTGATAGTCTACCGAAAATGTAGTTCACCACTGTAAAGTGCACTTTTTTGTCTTAATTGGTTAATTAAAATCTAAGAGGTTTTGAGGTTAGGAAGAAAGAACAAGAATTTCTTAGATATGGCAAGGATGTTTCAGAACTGCCATTTATGTGGTGCCGTCTATGAATAAGTTAATAAATATAAGAAATGGGCATTAATCTTTGAGAGATTTTCATTTGAATTATTCTTTGTTTTTTAAGTGTTTTAGTATTTTATCAATAAACATCCGTTTAATGAAACAGAAACTTTTATTTCAACAGCTCCAAAAAAAAGTAGAAATAATTAAAAATTGTTAATGATGAAGCAACTTGATAATAAGAAATATAAAGTGAGGCAATGAAAAAAAAAAAAAGAATTAAGTTAAAGATTAGTCATTATTTTGGAAAGAAGTAACATTACTTTGGATCACAAAAGTTGTGTGCTGTTATACTGAAAATTTCTAACAATGAGGTGGCTGACATTCCAAATTTGTTTGGTAACTTAAGATCCCAGAGAGGACAAATATTTCTTCATGAATATATCTCATGAAACTATTTTAAATGAAATATTGTTATTTTAACTTTTATTAATTGTTAATATAACTGTTTTATCTTATTATTGTTTTTTTAATGTTAGGGAAAAAGATTAGAAGAAGAAGCGAATAGACTTGACAATGAATTTTCAAACGTTGCTGGAGATGTTGACTCAAAAGTGAATCGAAGTTTAGCAATGTTAGAGGAAGGCAAAAAGTTGCAGCAAGAAGCAGATGAGCTTTTGGCTGAAGCAGATGCTGCTAAAGCAAAAGCAGCAGCTGCTGTTGAATTAGGAGATAAAATTTTAAGAGATGCTAATGAGACATTGGCATCTTTGCAAGGTATTTCAGGTTTTATTGTTAAATCATTCATGATAGAACAAATGCAATGTAAGACATTAGTATATATGTAATGTAAAATACTAAAGCTTTGAATATGTTACAAAAAAATAAATATTTTCCAAAAAATATTTGTACATACTATAAAAATTTAGTAGTCCAACAAAACAATATTATATTAATATATAACTAATGGTTATTATGTTTACAAATGTGATCATAATTTCACACATTTAATAAATTACTTTATATGTTTTGAGGGTACTTCTTAAATAGTGTGGGGGGAGGGGATGAAATCTCCCTTTTTATCTAATGTTACATCCTCCTATGCTTGCTCATTCATAACTCATACTATAGTAAGCCCAGTGTTATTGTTTTTTAATAGTAAAATTAGATCATAGCTTTTTATTTTTACCTCTATTTACGGGTGGATCTACTGGGGAGCTTTCGGGCTGAAGCCCCTCTCCCCCAAAATGGTAAAATATAACCTTGTTTTATGGAAAAATATATTAAAAAATGATCTCTTAATGTATTATTGTTCGTATAATTACATTTAAAAGGACTTAAGTAATCACTTAAACACTATTTCATATAGATAGTTAGTTTCTTTCTTTTTTTCCAAAGTAATTATCATCATTTTTATGAAAAAAAAAGCTTTCGGGCTGAAGCCCCTCCAAAATTAAATCCTGGATCCGCTAGTGCCTCTATTCATATATTTTAAAGCTTTTTACATTACTTTTTTTTTTTAATTAATTGGTCAAGTAAAATTAGCTTAATAAAATATATAAAAAAGTTTATATATTTTTAGAAACTACTAAAAACAACTACTTTTATGAAAGGATGTTAGTGGCTCTGAAAGACCAAAAAAAAAAAAAATTATTGGGGCATTAATGCTTTTAGAGATATCCATTATAATATAAAAAATTAATAGATTGTGATTGTTTCAGTATTTATCTTACAATTAGATCTCGCACAAAACAAATGTGGACCACTAAAAAAATACTATTTTTCCATTATTTAAGATGGGTTGATTATGAATACTAGTTAATTTTTCAATTATTTACTATACTCTATTAAAAATCAAAAATATTTTTTAAAAATTACAGTGACAATTAAAAAAAAAATATCTAGAATATATTTACAATTGCAGTTTTATGAAGGAAATAATAATTACGAAGGAAATAATGGATTTTATTTTATGCTCGATAAAAATTTCTTTTTAATTTTCTTTTACAACACATTTTAAAAAATGTGTATTTACAAACAAAGTTTTATGAAGGAAATAATGGATATAGTTTCTTATATTTCATTTTATACTGTATAAAAAACTTTAAAAAATTTTTAATTTGGTTTTCTAGAAAATTAAAAAAAAAAACATATATACAATTATGGTTTTGTGAAGAAAATAATAATCATACTCTAATTAAAGAAGATATAATTGCAATTTTTTTTGTCTAGAAAGCAACAGAAGTATAATTTCTCATATCAATATAAATAATAATACAGTAAAAATAATTGTAAAACAATTCTAAACTTCATTCATAAAAATATAACCTTGGTATCTCATTGGTTCTTATTCCATCTTATCAGCCCTTATTTCTTCTTTAGTTAGTTGTAAAATTCTTTCCTAGTTTATATTTAACCATTTTTTAATTACTTTCCTCTCTCTATATTTATATAAATGTATTTATAATGTGAAATTATTAATTATTTCAAATCGCAAAATCAAAGGTACTTTTGAGAAACAAATCTTGAAAATTTGGCATTTAATCTCTATGGTAGTTTCGTGAAAATTTCAATTGTAACGGTTGAAAATTTGAATTGTGGATCAGTTTTAATTTTTTTATTAGTAGCAAATGATTCAAATCATTTACAGTCTAAAACTACATTTTCAATTGAAAAATTGATTTGCAATTGATATTTCAATTGAGGTGTTCACAAAATTTTTAATAGATATATGAATAAACCAACATTTCACTATTCTTTAAACAAGCTCATGATTGCAAGTGTTGTAGTTTTTATTCAAAAAACAAATTTTTGTTGTGAAAATAGATCAAATTATTTATTATTTTCTTTATATTGATCAGATAGATTTTATTTTAATTACATTTATATATTTACAATAAATAAATTATTTTGCTAGACTTTGACCAGCAAGTGAAGGAGAGCAAAGCAAAGGCCCTAACAGCATTAGAAACTGTCCCGAATATTGAAACTTTGTTACAAGAAGCAAGAGATAAAACTACAAATGCAGAGGAAGCCCTAGCAGGTGCTGAAAATAATGCAATATATGCTAGCACTACTGCACAAAGTGCTCAAAAGCAATATGCTCAACAGGCTTCATCTGTATGTTACTGAGCTGATATTAATTAAAACCATTTACTTATTTTTTATTTAGTTTTTTGAAATTATTTATTTTTGAATTCTTAGGAAGCAACTGCAATAAGGCAAAAGGCAGAAGAGACAAAGAAAGATGCCAGTCTTTTGAGGGATGAAGTAAGCAGCCTTGAAGAAAAATTATTAATTAACAAAGAAAAACTTTCCAAGGTTGTTAACAAGGCTGATGAAAACAACCAATTTATCGAAAAGGTATCTAAAAGTATCTACAATACTTTTTGGAATATCTACATTGTATGATAACTCGTTTTGTATTTTATTATTTATTTATAAAATTAAATAAAAAACATTGAAAATTATTACAATCTAGTTTATTATTTTCAAATATTGAAGGAAGCTAGTCAACTGTTCACCATATCATGGGTGATAAATAGTCAGAACGCAGTCATTATACAATTTTTTTTATTTGTGCCAATGTTTGAACCCAAACATGTGGGTCATCTTCAGGGCTGAAAATTTTTGAATACAATCAGAGATATAATATTATACGACTGATAATGGTAAATAATAAACTATAGTGATTGATGGTACATGAATCTAAACTATTTTTATAATACACACTATTAAAAATGAAATATGTAAAAAGTTATACAACTAAAAATAATATATATAATCTATTTATAAAACCTGTACCACTACAACCCATAAAGGGTCTGGGGTTCAGTACTATTTAGGGAAAGCACTGTTTCTAGGTCAACGGTTGTGCAAGGAGGTGATTTGACCGAGATCACGCTCAACCGCCAGGTTTTCCCCCTTAATTAAGTATTTAATTAAGGGTACCCACTTTATAGAGGCTGGGTGTGCCCCAGGAGGGTCTTCCAACCCAAGGTCGCCCCGCGGCCAATGAAACAGATAAATAAAGTTTTCTGCCATGAGCCGGGGTTCGAACCTGGGATCTTTGCATTGGAAGCTCAGTGCCCTACCACTGAGCTACCCCACTCCCCCCATAATCTATTTATAAAAATTTGTAATATTTTCTCTTACCAACCGTGGTTCGAGCACTGAAGGCTTTCAAGTACTAACACATTTGGTAGGTAAGTGAAAAGGTTAGGGGAGGATTTCCCAGGAGAGGTCTGGTGCAAGGCAATTATCCATCGCCAAGCCGGAAGTTTGATGAAAAAATTTGTTTTTAACACATAGGTAGCCTGAGTTACAACTTAGAGGGACTGAAGGAATGAGGATTGATTAAGGTTGGCACAAATAAAAAAAATTGTATAAAATTACGTCCTAACTATTTATCACCGATTTCCAAATAGTTATGCATCCCCAAAAGAAAATTACTTATTTCTTTTTAGTGTTTGGTATGATGATTCCAAAACATTTTATATTTTTCTCTATCTTGATAAATGGCTGAGATATAGGCATATAAAATCTTTAATTGCACAAACAGCTCAGAAACAATATGCTTTGAAACAAAATGACAGATGGTCATTTTGAGTTCTGAGGATCATCTGGTGCCAAATATGTATATATTTCTTAATTTGTTCAGTAAATATTCTTGTCATTCTTGGTCGATTAGTAAGCTTCATAATTGAAAATAATTTCACTAAATTTCTTGTCTAAATCACTAAATAATTTTGTTGTGTTTTTTGTAACAAATCTTAAATAAAATAAATAAATAATAAACGGTTTTTAATCATCTTATGGTCATTCATTTATGAAGTAAAAATAAATTCATTTCTTTTTACATTTGTTAATTTTTCTGAGTGACTTTAACAACTGACTTAAGAAATACATTTAATTTTTTTATGAAGTCAAATTTTTTCGTTTGTAAAATTTATAGATAAACATATAATTTTTACTCTATTAACTAATGAAACAAATGCATTCCATAAATTTATTTTTTATCATTTTGTTTTCAGGCTAAAGAAAAAGTCAGACAAGCTCAAACCAAATCAGAAGAAGCAGCAGAACAAATAAGTAAAGCAATGGAAAGTCTTCAATCAATTACTAGAGAATTGAATGAACTTGCAGACATAGGTATTGATAGTTCTACACTAACGTAACAAGGATCATATTTCTGAAACTTTATTACTAGACTTTATTTTTTATTTTTAGATGAAGAATCTCTGAATCAACTTGAAACAAAGTTAAATCAGGCTGAAAATGAATTCAATGAAGCCAACCTTGATGAACAGCTTAGAGTTCTCACTAATGCAAGGCTCCAACAGGTAAATGGTTTTCTTAACTATAGGTGTTTTATTTTATTGTTGCTGTGAATTTTACTTACCTAATAGATATTTTGCTATTTTAACCAGCCTAATCCATCTCTATCTATGTTGAGATAGTGTTTTAAAAAGTTGTTGGTTCATATTTAACCATTATTTTTTTTATTACTCTCCTCTCTATATGTAAATTTATTTATAATGTGATAATGAGATCAACGGAACTCAGATTAAAAAAATAAGTTATATTTTTTCATGTAAATGATTAGTATGCGATGTTTGGAGTGGGTAAATATTTTACAAATTAATTTATTTTTATGAATAAAAATTAAGTTAACACAATATTTTGTATTAAAAATGAAATTGCAACTAGCCACCTAACTATATAAAACCAGAGTATTTAAAATAATGGAAATATAAGATCTAAGGAAGGTATTATGTATCTGCCAAACCAGATCCTTAAGCTATTTCTAGTTTTTGGGTTGATAATTATATACATTTCTTGTAATTATTTAAAAAAAAGAAAATATATATTAAAATAAGTAATATTAAATTAATTTAATTTCAGCAACAACGGCTAAGGAGCTATGAAGAAGAGCTTGAGAGGTTGGTAGATGAAGTAGATAGAATTAGGGTGATTAAAGAATCTTTACCAACAGGATGTTTTAAGCGACCTAGTCTTGAAGTGTAAATCATGAGTTTCCTCAAATTAATAAAAATACCAAAGATTCCTACTAGACTTGTATAGAGAGAAGGAAAACATTCACTTTTTGAATGACGCCATGTTGTATCAACATTTGGCAGTAAATAAAATATTATTACATTTATTTATAATGCTAGCATTGTAAATTGACCTATGATCTTTTAATGATTTTACTGTAATTTAAAAGTGTGCTTTTTTTAAGCACTACCTTGATTGTTGTAAAATATGTTTTTAATGTGTTCATTTTTATAAAACCATTTTTGTTTTATTTTTTATTATTAATCAAATAAATAAATATGTATACATTAGATTGCTAAGATGTTGACAAAATAATAAATGTTGTGAAATATTTTTTATTAGTTTTTATAATTATTCACCCAAATGTTTGTTCAGATATATGAGAAATTTTATTATTAATTATATGCAAAGTTAACTGTAGCAACAATATTAATGAATAAAACATATATAATATTTTTCATTTTATAACAATATTCCAGTGACAGAGTCCCCCACCTCAGACATTTGGCGCCTCCGGGCAATGATATCTCCTCACCTTAAAAAATTAAATTTATTTCTTATGCTGCTTTATATTATGTAATATTTGAATTTTATTTCATTCAACATTTCTCTAATACAGTTGCTTTTGATAGACTAAAATTAATTATTTTAAAACGTTTTGTATATATTTTTTTATTTCTAATAAGTGGCAAGCTCCCCTGAACCCTCCAGGGCAATTGCACTGGTTGCCCCTCCCTAAAGCCGGCAATGCAGTGACACACAATAGAAATTCATTAGTTATTTCAGATAGTAAAATACCATCTTCTTAATAAAGTATGAAATGCATATGCCTAATTTAAAATTAAATATCCTGTTGTAATAAAAAAAAATTAATATATTTGGGAAGTTCTTATACTTACTCAAAAGCTTCGAACACTTTTAAGACCAGGTTTAAGAGAGTTATTCTGGTAAGAAATAAATTATAATAGAATTTTATTAGATTAGTTAATGTTTTATGAAAATAAATACATAATTCTTTTATGAATTTCTAAAAAAATATTAATATTTTATAAATAAAAAAAATACTAATATTTTTGAATTTACAGTAAAATTAGTATTATATTATGATGGTTAGTAAAAAATCTCAAGTTCTTTGTAAGGAAAAATTCATAATTTAAGTTAACTTGTTACCATTGTTCTTTGGTTATGCCTATTATATTTTTGTTTTTCAACTCATAAATGATATTTACTGACTAAATGTGTATCCATTGAAAAAAAAAAATTAAGGTGATGTTAGAAAAACTTTTCATTAATTTTAATGAATATGTTAACATGAATTGATCTAATAAGTATGTATCCTTTATAATTACTTTTATAAAGCCAATTTCTTTCAGCTATAATGTGTTATTTATTGATGGTGTAGTTAATTTGTCCATCTGGAGAGCTAAAATATTCAGTAAATTTGTTTCTCACAGACTCAGCATTGCTGGTGCTTCTACGAGGAACAGTGGGAAATGTAGAAAATCCACCTGGTTCATCTCGTCTCCACACTCCTAACATTAATTCACCTGTATGGAGACATTCTTGATCAAAAATACCTGGTGGATTATATATTTGTTTTGATGGACTTTTTCTGAGAAAATTGTGTAAATAAATAATTGATAATGTAACTTTCTTTGCCGTTTCTGGCTGCATTGACATTGGTAATCTAAGAACACGGAAGACCGTGGAAATTACCCCAAATACATTTTCTGATACTCTTCTTCCACGATTTAATCTAGAATTAAACAATTTTCTCTTGGATTTTGGAATATGTGATCCAGGGTATGGTTTCATAACATTTGGTGTCAGTGGAAATGCATCATCTGCAAGAAATACTAAAGGGGTTGTAATTGTTGTCCCTGGAAGTGGACATTCTGGTGGAAAATATGCAATGTTTTCTTTTAAAGCTTTTTTAAACTTTGTTCCACGAAAAAGGCCACCATCTGATATTCTGCATTGACATCCTACATCAGCATAAATAAAATTATAATCTGAATCAATCACACTAAATAAAACAACCCTATAAAATCCTTTACAATTATAGAACTCTATTCCACTCTTGACAGGAGCTTGTAGAGTAATATGTTTCCCATCTACTGCACCTACACAGTTTGGAAATTTCCACTTTCTGTTGAAACTAGTTGCAATTTTTTTCCAATCATTTTCATTTTTTGGCATCTGAAATAATAATAAAAAATAAAATAAAAATACGGAATGTTTTTTCAAGTCCTATAAATCTATTGTTAGTGGTCTATTCCCCTTATATCCAGTATTTAAAGTTTTATTATGAAGTGAAAACAATTTTAACTTAGCTTTCAGTTTTCAATTAAAGATTTAATACATTTTTTATCTCCGCTACCTCGACTTTTAGGCTATATGGAAGTTTTCCTGAACAAGGGGGTGAGGGCGGGGGTTAATGCCAAAGTTAAAAAAAAAACCCTGGCAGCTGAACCCCAGGGCGGGAACCCATAAGTATTTTATCTTCCCCAATTTTGATTATCACATTGTTGGACACGGCGTGGTGCTATGCACACAAGTTAACCTGTTCGACTACCCCGCCCCTTCACATGTTTTAGTTGCTCCCCTCCCCCTCATGAATGGTAAAATAGAACCGCGCCTTATGAAAAACTTATCTCTAAAAGTAATATTGTTCGGGTAAATAGATTGAATCACTTAAACACCTTCTCTTATAGTTAGTTAGTTTCTTCTATCTTCTCCAATGTTATTATCGTTATACGCACTAAAAAAAATCTTTTGGCTGAATCTCCCCAAAATTAAACCCTGGATCTGCTAGTAATTCCTTGTCTGATAGCTTGATTAGTTTTGAACTTTTCTGTTGATTATTGCCCTCTTATTGAGTGAAACTTATTGATTTTGGATTGCATTAAGAAGACTTATGTTTTCTCTTTTCTTCTACTGTTTTTTTGTTTCTTCGCCCTTTCCACAAGAAAGGTACAGATCTCCTTGTCTCTATTACTTTCTCTAAAACCTATATTGGGAATAAAAGAGCTCAGGTTTTTCTGCTTGGCATAAAGGAGATAGTAAGCCACCAAGATCTTTATAATTTTACTGACTTTGATTAGCCACTAGAAAAATTGAAGCCAAAAAGGAAGGGCTTGAGGAGGCAGTTCCTTCACTTGGCTGGGGACAGTGGGCTGATAAGCAACTCCCCTTAAAAAAATATTTATGGAATCTCCCACTAGCATCCAAACTAGACAGATATATGATAAACAATTCGACAAGAAACACACTGAGAATTTCCTAATGGGGCATGGAGCTTATGCAGCCTAATGGAGGTAGGTAAGAATCGGATGATAAAGGAATGTCTTGACAAGTACAATATAGATATAGTATCATTAAATGAGTTAGAGGAAAGAAAACTGTGATAGTATAAATTGACAGTTACATCCTTTTAAACAGGAGAGATGACAACATTTTTGGGACAGGATTCATAGTAAAAAAGAAATGCTAGCATTCGATCCTGAATAGCAACATGGTAAATAAGAGGATTTGCATGATTAAAAGAGAAATTTTTCAATATCTTCTTGATAAGTCCATCCACCAACTGAAGATAAATCAGACGAAGGCAAAGAAAAGTTATACTTTTGATCAAATCCGTAAGAATGATGATAAAATATTGTTAGGAGATTTTAATAGCAAGATTGAGAAGGAGCCCAATCTAGGACGATAACGTTGGTAGACAGAGCTTCCACGAAAATACAAATGAGAATGATCAAAAGACAATTAACTTTGCAACCAGCAAAAACTTTAAAATTTCATGTATAACCTTCAAGAATAAAAGGATACACTTGAAGATCTGAGTTTCACCTAATGGAAGAATTAGGAATCAAATTGATCACATAATGGCAGAGAAAAGACATCTACGCAAAATTGAAGATGTACTGAGTCATAGGGAATGGAGTAGTGATCATTTATTAGTTAAAGTCAAATAAAAGCAGAGAGCGTCAATCATACCTAGAGGCAATGTACAGAGGGGAAATAGAAAATATAATCAAGAGGCTTGAAAAATACATTTAATTAAAAATGTATATAATTCTATTTGAAAAACCCTATAATAGAAAAACGTACATACAGCAGAAAAACGTTTTTTTTTAAATCAGATGATATACGCCGACATTGTAGCACTAATAGACCTCTTTTCGTTCCCGAAAAAGCATTTTTCAAAAACCAACATTAAAAAAAAACCAGAGAAATCATCACTTCAGTGACTTATGTCAGGAAACACGGAACTGTTATTCCAAAAAAATAAAAAATAAAATAAAGTAGTAATAAATTTTTAAAAAACTAATTTCTTAAAACTACTATTAATATTATGTTATAAGATTGGTTGTAAGTATTTTAACATTTTGAAAAAACTAATTATGAAATAATGACTAATTGCTCCTTTTAACCAATTATGCTTCTGACTAAGGTCTTGGATGACATGTACCTGATATTGTTTTGGGGACATTAATGCACTGAACTACTAGTTTAAGTATGTTGTAGTTTACTTTTATTTGTGGAGTTTTATAAATATTAAAGTAAAAATAATGTTAACTAACTTTAAATACCAACATTGTAGAGGAGAAAAAATTATTTAAAAAAAAATAACTATATTCAGATTTTTTTAAATTAGGAAGTAGAAGCCAATGACACCATCGAGCAGAAAATGTGAATCGTTAGTTTCTTTGCTTAAATCTAGGGAAAATAAAATTACCAAAATCAAAACGTTTCCTACATTCTTGGTTTCATATTGAGATCGATGATAGTCACAAAGACAAATAATAACTATCAAACTATAATATATTATCACATTTGTTTTCTCAATAAAGCTGATTCTTACCACATTTCTCAAGAAAGGGCACTCACTTTTCTTGAGGTCAATTAAATTAAAATCTTGTTTCAAAAATCCAAAGTACAAATAAGAATTAAGCAATATTCTAAGAGGATTTTACGGTATGAATTTCAAAATTAAAATCTATTGTATTTGGAAAATAATTTTTTTGTTTTACCAGATTCGTAAATTTAAAATTAAATTTGAGTCATAACTGTGGGTTGATGGTTGATTGTAGAGAATAATTGAAGAGAAGGATGGTTGGGGTGTTGAGTCAAAATAAAAAATAGCAAAAATAAATAATAATATTTCTTTTTAACCAACCCTAATCATTCTTCTCTTCAATTAAATTTGAGTCATAAATCCCAGTATTACAGTGGTGAGATAACAAATATGTCTTCAAGGAATGAGTATGAGAATATGAAACAATGAATTTTTGCTGATATATTTTTTTTTTCACTAAGAAAAAATAGGTTTTTAGACATTCAATACCTCCATGGGTATAAATGGAGGATGGATACTCATTTTATCTAGAATTCCAAACTTTTCAATTTTATTACGTATGCCTGCTGAATTAATTTCAATTAACATAATCATTTTATTGCAGTCTACAATTATTGATATCAATGTAACTCACCTTAATATAATCCTGAAGCACTTCAATCAGAGCATCACACACCTCTGGTATTACCTTTGAAATTACTTGCTTAGGAATTTTAAAGGTGTACATTAGAGAATGAAAGGAATCTCCTGATGTAAGGAATCTTAGTGTCAAACCCAGGCGTTCATTTATGGAAAGAGTTTTTCTAATATCCATTTCTTTTTTTGAAATTTTAGGTCCTATCAAATTCAATAAACGTTCGAACTCCATACTGGACATTCGAAAGAAATTTCTAAATCCTGCATCGCACCTGAATTCAAATTTTAGTGTCCTGGAATCATCTAACAGCAAATCGCTAATCAAATCGTTTCCTGGGTACCATTTGCTGTTGAGGTTGGCTCTTGCCCAAAACCGTCGTACTATAGCTGGTTCAAAAGAAACTGGTACAAAACTTGTTGAAGGGTGCAGGATTTCGTCTTTCTTAAACATATCTTCGTTTTAACGTTTGCAGCTTAGTAAGTGAAGACAATACTACTATATTCAGACAATCGTCCTTGCCTATCGGTCCATTGGCGACGCACCTAGCGCAATTTTAAATGAAAGACAATATCATTTCAAAATATTCATTGTTTATTAGATTTCTAGATGCTTTAGTCAGACGCGTTTGCAAAACTGGGCCAACTACAGTAATTCCCTTCTTATAAATTAGTAGTTTATTTAACATAAATGGTTTGGAATTATTGGTTACTGAACTATAAATTTAAATAAAAATTGTATGAATGAAGTGTAAGCAGTGTTATGGTTATTCTTGTTTTATTTTTTTATAAATTTCGGATGTTGTTATGAAAAGAATAGGGGAAGGAGGGAGGGATCTGCCGCCCGTAAATTCTTTGAAAACCCAAAAAATTAGGGAGACTTCAGAGCCTACTTGAAACTGTAAAAATGGTTTTAAAACGCTTTATTCTAAGCGTTACCATAATTTTTTTTTTTTATTTTAATGAAATTTACAACTGTATTACATTAAAAATACAACAAGTAAATGTGACATTGGTAACATGACATGTACAACATGAAGAGAAACTAGCCATTGGTAGAACTCAAGCCATAATTTAAAACGAGATTATTGTTGTTTTAGGGGTATATGGAAAACACGATCGAGCACATTACAAATGCAATGATCTCATGGTTTTTAGAAGAGTATGAGGTTGTAATTTCTTGATGACTAGACTATTATAATTTTGAATTAACTAATTAATAGTTTTGTTTAAACCATATTTTCAACAACTAATTATCAATCTGGTTTTAACTATTAAAACACTCAAAACAACATACCCGTTTAAGTCTATAATAATAGTCAAATAATTGGTCAAAATCACAAGTCATATATTATATTGAAATATCTGAGCCGATAATAAGTTTATACACATATATATATATATATATATATATATATATATATATATATATATATATATATATTATATATATATATATATATTTATTTATTAATTAATTTTAATTATCTAGATATAAACATTCTTTTTTAATTATTATTATTTCCTAGACCTATAATGATTGTAATTACGTAGTTAATTAGAGCTACATAGTTAATTAACGATTTTATTTTATAAAAATTGATTCCCTTTATATCTCCTATAAAATAGTAAATGTAATTAATTTTTTAAAACATACAAAAATTATCTTGTTGCAATTATTCTTTATATATTATCCATTTAAAAATAATTTTTTCCTTGAAATTTTATTGAATATCCAATCAAATTTTCCTTTCCTTTTTATTGAATATGCAATATTTATTTAAAAATTATCAATTTTAAAGCTGCATTTTTTTAAAACTTATATTTACGAAGTTGGAGAAGAAGATAGTATCTCTATTGTAATGACGAATAAAATGATTGATATAACGATTACGATCGAATTAAAAAGAAAAACAATGTGGCATAGAATATTTACAATAATGAAAATCATTAAAAAGAACGAAATCACTGTGCAAAAGCCAAAAATCTGGAAAATGTTAGAAAAAGCGTCATTCTGCGAAAGAGGTGTTTTGGAGAGACAGTTCCTGTTGTGTCAAAAAACGTACCATTTAATCTTTACTTCACATGACTTTTTTTTGCATAATATGTCAACATAGAAGTATCGATCCATACTACCATTAATTATAGGCAACCTACCTACGCATTTCGCAATAATGGACCTCCAGACATACATACATTACCTTCTCCAAGTTTGGCTTCAAGGCTTCATTTTTTTTTTAAGATTTGATCATATTTTCAAAAAGGAGTCGAAATTCAAGTTTTTGAGTCCGTTGGTCTCCAAAATGTGTGGAAAAAAATAATTAGTCGATAAAAAAAAATATATATATATAAAGCCAACCGTCATACATTTAGGGGGGAATTTTATGGTATGGAGATGCATGGGTGTAAAATGAATGGGTAAGTTGCATATAATTATTAGTTGTATGGATCAATACGTCTAGATTAATTTAAAATGAAAAAAATAAAGTACACAAAAGTGAAGGTTGGAAGAAGCATTCGTCTTTCAACAAGATAATGCCCATAAATAAATTACATTACAACTCAGGAAAGAATTTTAATTGATATATTCCGGCATTTGAATTACTTTCCAATATGTCAATCTAAATTCAATAGAGGAATGATAGATACCAAATCAAATCTACCCGCAAGACAATGTAGACAATGAACTCCAACCAGAAAAGGAAGAAATCGCCTCCGCAATAACCGAAAAGGAAAAAATACCTCCTCAATGACAGAAAAGAAAGAAATACCTCCTCAATGACAGAAAAGGAAGAAATGCCTCTTCAATGACTGAAGAGGAAGAAATACTTCCACCGTAATAAGGAGCAAGTTATCGATCAACAAGAACCAGAATTACTCAAATTTGGTGGTGATGCTATGACTGATTGATATAGTCTAATCCGTGACTACTAGATGGATGAACAGATACCTACGAATAAAATGTTTTACTGCTATGTTTAATTTACAAAAAAAAAAAAAATGACAGAATAGCACTTAGCAACATCAATAGAGATATAGATCTACTGAACGTTGATTGTGAAGTACATATCATTGGTGATAAATAAACGTATGTCCACATGGATGGTGCAAAAATTGGCTGGGACGCACCAAGCGGGGTTCCAAATTTTAGTTAAAATTCAGAGAATTTAAGTTTCAGGTCTGCAGATCTACAATCAATCATACCGTCTCATTAAGGATAATGTCGATCTATACCATCTACTAGTTGATTTCAAAGAGACTTTCGTTCCTAATAAAGTCAATTTTATGTTATAGTTGAAGCTTTTTACGAAAATGCAATAAAATTTAGGATTGCGCAATTATGGGTTAATTTTTGGTAATTTTTCGAATTTCTTCGATATTAGGAACAATTATTATGTTATCGCAGGCGCTTTATATGGAAATGCAATCGATTTTAAGATTGCGCAATCACGCATCAATATTTTTCAAATTTCTCAGAAATTAGGGTTTGTTATGATATTGAGTGTGCTTTTCATGAAAGCCCTATCGTTTTTAAATTAAGGAAATATATCTATCTGTTAACTGTAAATACCGATTTGAAGTAAAAAAAAAAAAAAAAAAGAAAATGAAGAATTTCATTGATACAATGTCAGACTGAAAAGAAAATTATAAATGTACAAAAATTCACAAAAGGTAAATGAAAAGTTCAAAATAAAAAGATTCGGTAAAAATTAAATATCTGATTTAAATTGTTGAGAAATCCGGTCAAAATCGATGGGAAAATTTTGTTTTTTGATTATCCTTCAATCAATTCTTGTGACCCTGTCCTTTAATTGGTAATGCCCAATATCCTGGATATGTATTTTGTTTAGTTTTATTGTTTGCATATTTAAAAATTATTTTAACCGTTGTTTGATTAATTCAATGATTAGGACTAAATCTAATTCTTAGAGTATTATCCAAAGGTAATAAAAGATATAATAAAAATTAATGATTGGTCCCAAGTAATTCATTAATTTTAAATACTACTGGAACATTCCAGTTATATCGATACTTAAGAAAATGAATCGATATGTTCAAGGTGCCGAACTGATGGCAGTGCTAAGAAGTTGAGGTGTGGGTTAGGTTTCAAACCAAAATTGTTTATTTTTTTTTACTTTTTAGTTTTGTGCAATAATTTTGATCTCGAAATGCCGGTCTTTCATACTAAAACTATAGAAAGCATTCTTGAACCAGTGGCACAACAAGTTAGTATTATTTATTTTACAATCATTATATTGTGTGTACAGTATTTTATTTTTTAAGAATTCTTTTCGCTTTTATTACGAGCCTTATAAGCTGATAATATAATCAAATATTTTATTACTATGGGCGTGGCGAATTGCTGTTAATTATTATTATTTTCCCTTTTAATAAAGTTTGGTCATACTATAAAAAGTGACATGTACACTTATTCACTTGTGACTTGTTGATAAATGTTATCGGTTAAGGTTTTAAATGTTTTATGACGTCATATTGATGCGTAACCATAAAAGGCAATGTGTAACTTGGGGTTTGGAAACTTCTATCCCACCAACTATTTCCTTTCCCATAATAGGACATTGCTTACTACAATATCATATAAAGTATCTCTTATTTAAATATGAATTATTCAAAATAAAGCAAATTGAAACCATGATTCCTTATTCTATTAATAAACTGTCATTGCTCAAAACAATTAATTTTTTATTACATTAAAATGCAGTCATAGTTATTTTTAATTCAGTGTCTAAAATTATTTGTTTTTATGTTTTAACTATGTATTTTATATAAACTTACAATAAAATTCATAATTTATTTTGTGTCACCCTTTTTATTTTATGTTTTATATTATTTTTTACAAATATAGAAGTTTTTAACATGATATTTGGAAAAATGTTCATGTAATGTTTGATTTTATTGAATTTTATTTTATCCTTGTTGATTCAAACTAAAGAAAGGAAAAAATCATTACTCAAAAGTGCACTCAAACTTCCCAAATTTTATTCATTGTACGATCTTTATATTCATATATAACATCAAATTAATTTATAAGTATCTTACAGTTTCTATTGATAACTTTGGCTATGTGTCATAAATGACTCCTTAGATACATTTAGTCATCAGTGTTTTGATTACTTTAATGATGAGATTGAAAAATGAGTTCACTGATTTTATGAAATTATTTTAAATGTATTCTGTTAAAATTGCTTTAAATGTATCTCAAAATTAAATTAATTTAATATTCCAAGACCTTTCTGAAGGAAATAGGAAATTCTTTGTACTAAAATGTTGCAATTCTGTAAATTATAAGACGGAAGAATATTTCAAAACTTTTTAAGGTTGATGTAGTGGAATATTGTCCTCTTCCGTATATTTTATCCACATCTTCCTAGGAACTTGTTCAGAAAAACCGAACAAGTCCTCTGATTTTTTCACAAGTTAATTCTCCGGAGGTCTGATTTCTCTCATGATTGTCCTATATTATTTTTATGTTTTATAAATCTATAGATTCATCTATCTTTGTTTTGAAATTGGTCTCTGTAACACAAAAATTAATGAAATGGGAGGAACTTCATATACATCACTACTTGGAATAGATGTTCATATTTTCATTAATTACTAACATTAATGAATATTTGTTTTTAATCTTTCCCTGAAATAATTATTCATTTACCAACATATATGTAAACCAGAGTGACAATCTGGGATAAATTGGATGAAGACCAAATTTGTTTCTGAAAATTCACAAACATTTTTAAGTTAATGAGTATTTTTTTATAGCTAGCACAATTATAAGATAATAACATATGCCAGTGAGAACTCTCACATTATTTAGGTATCCTTCTCACTCATGCAGACAATGTATAAGTGACATCGACGAAACATGTTTATTCACACATTCAATATGATATCGAGATAGTCTTTTCAATACATACTTTAGCAAAACTGTTAAAATAACAATTTAATTAATAAGTAATTAGCTTGACTCACTGGAAAATATCCCTGCTGTTTAATAGTTAAGCTATAAGATATAGCTCAAGTGCTATTTGTTTGGTGCTGAAGACCTTCGGTTTGTTGTTCTCTCAATTAATAAATATCAATATGCTTCATTCTATTGCATTCTAGTGCACCAGAGAACTGAGAATGATTCAAAAGTTAATTTTTTTTTGTACAAGTGGGAGAAAAACATAACAGGATACCAGGTTCTCTGGATTTCTGCTGTTTATATATTTTTTAAATACTCATGAAATAAATAAATATTCATATTTTTGTTATAAAATATAGGTTTGAACAGGTTTTCCCTCTAAAAAATAAATAATTGAAATATTTCTACTTTATTTCAGATAATTAAAAATATTACTATCCTGCCAAGGTACAGAGAACATGACAACTTTTACACATCTGTATTAAAAAATAATGGTTTTCTAAATGCTGGAAATGCAAAACACATCAGACAATTATGTTTTCAAAGACATTAGCACAGCTGTGCCTGTTATTGTAGATTTTAGATTTTTTCGGATATTAAAATCAAAGGAATAATTTTATCAAATTTTTGTTGATAGCCTAAGCATCACACCACCCTGTATGATATAAGGCTTGCTTATGCAATTGCCTTCAAGTTTGGGCAACCTTAGCTCATTCTTTTCAAGTTTATTGAATAAAGTTGTCTCCCAATTTTAAATTTATTTTTGTTCAAGTGACAGATCTAAATTGAAATTTATTAAATTTTAACAGCTAACCGCACTTAATATAAAAGGTCTATGCTCTTAAGAAAAAGAGTAAAAGTAAATTTTATTGTGGGACATTTAGTCCCAGCATACGTCTTATGGCTTGATTGCCTTTGATGGCTCCAGCTCTAAGACTGCTTCAACTCCTTTATCATCCTTTACTTGAATCATTATCAGTGAAAATTTAGGGTTAGTTAGCAGTCTGTTCAGTTCAAGAAGCGTACAAAAGGTTTTGAGAAAAAAAAAAATCACATGTATTTATTGAAACTGATATTAATTTACTTAAGGAAACTGTTGAATGATAAAACTACAATATCTGTTTTTACTTTCACTTACGTATATATGTAATATATAGTAAGGGTAAGTATTGCGATCGTGAAAATTTTTGAATCTGAGTTTTCAACGGAAATACATGTTTTGAGGTCCCTTGAGTCCAAATAACCAAGTGTCACAAAATGGTCTGTGTGTGTGTGTGTGTGTTAATAACAGTCTAGCTCATTAATGAAAAGTAGTACGAAACTGATATTAAGTATTTAAGGTTTATACATGGGCCGGATGTGACAGTAACTTTTTTGTTAAAATCGGCTAACCGGAAGTGCCACTTTATATGAACATTGAAACACATTTTTACAATTTTCTCAAAAACGGCTTCAACGATTTTGATCAAACTCGGTGTATCATTGTATAATTAAGTGGTCTTTAATATTATTTAAGTCTTATCCTTGTTGATATCATTTTACAGGGCTTAAATGCCCAATCTTCATATATGTCTTCCTCTAAAGTACCTTTAATATGGTTTATTTTAAAAAGTTAACCATTTCGCATTATTCAGAGTTCTAAATGAATGTACTGATTTCAATGAAACTTCGCTAAATTCATTTTCTCGACACCCTTTAAATTTATCTATATAACATACTTCAACGAAAAGAAGCTGGAAAAAAGTTACTAGGGATGCTAAAATTAAATTCCGAATATCTCAAAAAGTATACGCTTTTTTGGCGATATTGGTTTTTTAAAAGTTTATGGAATTTCTTTTACAAAATCGTTAAAATCTGACAATTAGGAGGAAAGATATGGTCTCTAGTTTTTTTCCCTGAAGAGGCGAAAATTTGCATAAATTTAAAATATACTTTTTTAATTGTTGAGACTAAAAAAACATTTTTTGTACAGAATTTTAATAATGTACCTTTCCTAAGAACATCTATCATAAGAAATAAGTACCTAAATTTATAACTTTATTCTCAGTTCTATATTTCAACACTACAATAACCACCTCCGGAATCAACTTACTCACTGTCTGCATAGATAACTTTTTCAACTAAAAATATCACTAAAATGACATTACTCAAAAATGTTGAAATTGGAGTTAGTCATTCTGTGGTTTATAAAAGCAAAGAAAGTTGTGTGGTTTATAAAAGCAGATGGAGTAACTACATTTTAATGGTGTTAATGATTTGTTATCTGTAAGCTTTAAGCTTTAGCTCCTTTTAAAATGCACTTCAAAAAATTTTATAATAGCCCAGCATTGCCAGAAAATAATTTTTATTCAAAGTATAGCGGTAAGTGAAAGTTGTGTGTTGCGCGCAACAGATTTTTTACTCTTGCAGTAAATGCATTCTAGGAATGAATGCTTAGCTTTTTGAATTCATCAATTTACTTAAAATATCACCAGTAGTACAGAAACTGTGCATGAATAATGGATATTATACAGTGCATTATAATATTATTTAATTTGTATGCGTGACAAAAGTATAGTGTTCAAGATTTATAGAGTATAGAAAAGGACAAGTATGGTAGAAATTGTTTTAGTTTCTATGGTCTCTTCAAAGTTCAAAATAATATTGTTTGAGTGTTTGTTTACTAGTTTGTATAATATACAACTGTAGTAATTAGTTATAAATAGAATAGTCATTTTTAGTTATAGAATAACGTTTTAAGTAGTTATTACAAAAAACTAAATGAACCCGGCAAATATTAAAGTAAAATGTTGGCTCTGGATATATGATGAAAATTGAGTGGATATGTGATCAAAACTAAGTCTTAATGTTTTAATCCTTTAAACATAAATATTTTTGCATACAAGTGTAAAATCAGACTAATTTTTTAGTTTAAGCTTTTTAAATTTTTATATAATGTATTCGGTGTGTTGAACCTATTAATAGTTTATAGAACTTTGGTTTACTTTATATTTTTAATAATTTGTTTATTATAAATAAAGAATTATAATTATGTAAGCCAGAATTGGTTCAAAATATCTTATCTAACAATATCACTCTTAAGTTATTATTTAAACTAAAGCCCTGATTTCCATATCATTTGTTCTAATATTTTTAAATTATTTAAAGGTGTCACGGTTGGTTATTCTTCATGAAGAGGCAGAAGATGGAAACGCTATGCCTGATCTCGGACGGCCTGTACAAGCAGTTAGTAAAGCGGTAGCAAATCTTGTAAAGGTGATTTTCTGTTTGTTTCTTTTTTCAAATTTATTTAAATTAAAAAATATGTGATTATTTTTTTACCAAAGTTAGAAATGATAAGTATTAAATTTTTATTTTACTTTAAACAACTCTTTTGGTTTTTATGCATTTGAATTGGCTGTGAGTCTGAAACTGTTTATCAATTTTATAGTGCAGTGATTTTAATTTTTAAAAGGTCCAAAAAAAAAACCTTGTTAAGAAAAATAGATGCTATGATTGTATTGATGTTAAGAAGCCACACCTTCATATCCAGTCATGCATGAAACCAATCGAGTTCTGCAATCTTACCGTTAATTATCTTAAATTATTGAAGTGTATTCATATTAGTTATGCAACAAGAACCCATCCCAATTATGATGTGACACAGTTTATTATTAGCTAGTTTTAGATTAGTTGTTGGTTTTGAAGTAATTGTGTTTGATTAACAAGATTCAAATTACTTGTTTGTCATTTTAAAAAGTATTGTTAAGTTTTTCTGATGAATATTTCTTCGTCTTTTTTAAAATGTTCTGTAACAACTGTTTTATAACTGCAGGTTGGGCGGGAAACAATTAACAGCAGTGATGATCCAATATTAAAACAAGATATGCCATCAGCACTCCATCGTGTTGAAAGTGCCTCCAAGTACCTAGAAGAGGCATCGGCAATGTTAAAAGGTGATCCTTACTCTGGGCCAGCAAGGTATATTTCAGTTAAATTCATTTATATTGAATATATTATGTTTTTATGAGGCTATCATGGTCATTTAATTACTGATTTAAATATTAAAATTCAAACTTTTACTCTTAATTAAATCGGCTTTTGTTTAAAATTTAATTTTTTGTTATTATTCTGTAAAAAATAACTTTTTTATTAGAAAATTGAAAGTATTTTCATTTTTAAATGTTTTTATTATTATGTTTTTCTTTTTTTATTTTTTAGAAAGATTTTGATTGATGGATCTCGTGGCATTCTTCAAGGAACATCATCTCTTCTTCTTTGTTTTGATGAATCTGAAGTTCGTAAAATAATTAGAGAATGTAAGAAGGTTCTTGATTACCTAGCAGTTGCAGAAGTTATTGAAACAATGGAAGACTTGGTGCAGTTTTTAAAAGATCTTAGCCCTTGTCTAAGTAAGGTAAGAGGTAAATTTTATTATTTAGAAATTTTCCAGTTATTGTATAATTTACCTACATTGTAAACTGTACGTAAAATGATTATATATATATATATATATATATATATATATATATATTGTGCTTATAGGAAGAATTTCATAGTTCCCCATGTATTATTGAGGAGAGTGCTCCTTTTCAGAATCTTCATTATTGTCTTTGATACTTTTCTTGATCTTTTTGGTTTAGAGGAACAATGAAGTCTCTTTAAAATCTCTTCAACCATATCCTACTCCATTTTTATATTTATTTTATTAAACATTTTGTAAGAAGAATGAAATTGGCTGAATTCATGAAAATCTAAACTAAAGTATTTTAATTATGACTCAGTAAAAGTATTTGAAGTTTATAAAGTTAATAGTTTTAGTGGCATTACCTAAGTTGTGAAACAGGATTTACCCTTCAAAAGCATCTATAAAAGGTCTATAGTGCTAAACAAAATTCAAAGTTTTGTGGGTAACTGATCCTCACCATAATTGAATTTTATTAATTTTCTCATCAATGAATGGTCAACATGCAACTAGACCAGTCTAACTATAAATACACCAGTGTGCAACAAGTGCAAACAGAGCTTTATTCTTCCTTTCAAAGATAATGAATTCCTGAAAAATCTCAAAATATCTCAAATTAAGGGTGTTCAAAACTATGATAAAGCCAGTTCTAATATAATATGGCTGTGAGAACTGGACCCTAACCAGCACCTTAGAAAGAAGTATTGAAAGATTTAAAAGAAAAATTCTCCACACAATAAATGGAGTGATATGTGATCACAATATTAACGCATGGAGGAGAAAGAACAATAAAGAGCTACTTACAGAAACTGGTCAATTGATATCACATGATATGAAGGCAAGGAAGTTAAGATGGACGGGGATGTCATAGGAGCAATCCATTTGGAAGCCTCTAAACAACAATGAATGCCTTAATAGAAGGTAAAAGACCACGTGGAAGACTAAAATCCAGATGTATAAATAGAATCAACAAAGATGTAAAAGAGCTGCTTGCAGATGATAGGAAATAAATATCCCAAGGTAGGCAGAGATCAAAAAGCCTAATTAAGGCAGCAAAAATTCTACAAAGTCTCTAATGGTAACAGAAAAAAAAAAAAATTCTCATTTTAACATATTCTCTAAAACTGCTCCTGCATTATCGTTTTAAAATTCTTTTATGTATGTGAAAATCTTCTTGAAAACAATGAGATTAATGTTGACCCTAGCTCATTGGTGGCGAATCTTTTTATCTTTAGAGGCTGCATTAAGGTTAGGAGCTAATAATGGAGGCCACAATAGCTTCTTTTTTTTTTTTTTTTTAGTCACATCCTTCAGTTTTGGTGCCATTTTCTCATAAGGACTTTCTGTCCTGTATGAATGTCCTATTGAAGAACAACAATTTCTTGATACCGTCTGCAAATAGAGAAATGGAAAACGACATTCTTTGAAATAAAAGAATGAATTAAGGACGAATCATATCGCAATGATAAATTTTAAAAATTTTATGGTGCGGTGCATGTTTTGCAGGTTCTTGAAAATGGCTCCTGAAGCCGAAACGTTGAATAAAGCATACAGGAGATAAAAAAACTGTGTTTTTTTGGTGACCTTTGGCCTAAAATAGATATATGATAAAATAGCTTTTTATATTTTACTGTTGCTATTTTTATTTATAAGTAAATACATATTCACAAACAAACCCATATATTCAACTCAATTTTCAAATTTTTGTAATCTAATTCAGTATATACTAAGTAATCCTAACGCTAAATTAATAAAGATCGCAGAAAAATATACAGAGGACGCAGCTTCACATATATGCCCTAGCCTGTACTGGTACTGGTACTTGTAAAGAGGGGAGATGAATCCGGCAAGTGGGCCTCCTGTTTTTTTTGCTAACCCCAACTTCAGCTTGAACTATAGGATTGTTAATTCACTGAATTGCAAGATTTGTTACTCATCTGTATGGAAAACAAATATTGACATGATACTCAATATATATATATATATATATATATATATATATATATATATATATACAAACATACATACACATACATGCAGACTAGGAAAGAAACTCATTCTAAGTTGGTCCTAGTAAGGCCCTGTCACAAGAAAAGTAAATCACTTCTTCTTATGGACAGGAGCACCATACACACATACATTGAAATAATATAATTAATAATCATTTTTAGGTTTCCCGTGAAGTTGGTGCTAGAGAGAAAGAACTTACTCATCAAGTTCATAGAGAAATTCTTATAAGATGCTTAGATCAAGTGAAGACTTTGGCTCCGATTCTCATTTGCAGCATGAAAATATTTATTCATATTATTGCTCAAGGTATGGATTATTATAGGTATAAAATTTACATTTTTTTTTTTTTTTAAATTTAGTGGACACTGCATTAACCAGATTTTTTTTTTTTTTTGATGTAGCAATGTTTTTCTTGCTCATTTCTGTAATAAAATGGTCACTAAGAGGTCTTGCTTAAATCACTTTGTGTTACTTGAATAAGAATAATTATAAAACGCTGAGCGATTCTGAATTTTTGGTGCTGATACCACTAATCACTTTCTACGTACTTTCCTTCACCCACCACCATCAAAACCCACTCTGCAAGATCAGATTTTATGGTTGGCCTTCCACTCAAATGCAGTTTTAGAAAGTTGTTCGCTATTCATCCTTTTCACATGTCTGTACCACTTCAATCTTCTCCCTTCCATTATCTCTACTACATTATTCTTAAGTTCCATTCTTACTCTAATGGTCTCATTTCTGAATGTCTCTTTCCTCGAGACTAGCCGACCTCCTCCAAAAGTCCATCTCCATAGCCGGGAATATTTTTTTCTGTGATTTTTTAAGCGGCTACGTTTCAGAGCTATATAGCATTGTGCTTTCTACCAGGGTCTTATATATTAATTTCTTCACCTTCGTATGAATATTTTCACTCCGGAGCACTAAATTTAGCATACCCATCACTGTCTGTTTGCAACTCTTTTTTTCAATATCCTTTCTCACTATTCCATTGCTTTCAAGTGTTATGCCAAGGTAACTGAATTGGTGTACCATACAAAGCTTTGTCAGAACTGGGTCACTCAACTCATTTTTCTCTGTCAACATATATTTTGTTTTTATAATTAATATTCAGGCCCCATTACTCATACTATTCGTTTAATTTTCTGAACACATTCCCGATATCAAATTCATTCTGTGTGATTATCACTTGGTCATCAGCGAATAGTATCTGACAAATGTCTGTCATTCATTGGAATGCCCATTTTGCCACATTTTTGTGTCCAATTTATGAAGCAATTATCGATTATGTATTTATATAATCTAAACGCTTCTGACATGAAGGAGCCAATTTTTACATTGCATCTATTCTCTCTATATGTTTCCTTTACCATCTTTTTTTTTCTTCCTCCTTAGTGCCTCTCTGCGTTTGAGAGGCCTCAATTCATTTATGCCAATCTTCTTGGTACTTTGCCAGCATTCTCATAAAGCCTAACTGCCGGCCTCTTATCTCTCCCATCTTGGCTGTTTTGTCCATCCATGTTTTCCGGGTTTATCCTCTTAGCCACTTTTCTGTAGGTCACGCCTCAAGAAACTTTCTAGTTTCTCTTTGTTTTTTTCACCCCAATAACATGCCCTAAGCATTTCAGCATCTTCTTTTCTACGATTTCAAACTTCGGTGGCATCTTGACTTCTTTGAAATTGTTCATTTCGGATGTAGTCCGTTCTAGTTTGGCCGGCTACTTACCTTAGGTATTTCATTTCAGCTGCGATCAGTCTGCTTTTATGTTTGTCTAGTAGGACCCAGCTCACTACTGTACAGTAAGGTTGGAAGGTGGAGCGTGTTACATATATTTTCTTTACCACTCCCACTAAATCAGCACTAATCAGTAATTCATTTTAATCACTTGTTTGTTTAAAAATATAAAATTATTGTTTTACTAGGTGGTAAAGGGGCTGAGGAAGCTGCTGAAAACCGAAATTATTTAACATCAAGAATGACTGATGAACTTCATGAAATAATTAGAGTTTTACAATTGACAACTTATGATGAAGATGAATGGGAGGCTGATCAATTAACTGGTATGAAGAGAGCTAACAACGCTATACAGAGTAAAATGCGCACTGCCAAGGATTGGGTTGAGGTATTATTGTTTCTGTAATTTTAATTCATAACAATTTTGTATCCTTCTAAGGAATTTTTGAAATTCTTATGTATATAGTGATCTTAATTGCAACATTTCATAAAAAAATGAATTATTCTTAATGATAGGTTATTATAACAATTTCTTTTGTAGCTTCAAAAATTGTGCTTCATCACCTATGTTGACATTGTTTAGAAAATTTGATGTGGAGTTTGATTAGTTTGGATAGTTAATACTGTTCTGCTTATACCTAAGTTTACATTCATGTGAAATATGCATTATCTTAGTTTTTGTAATGTTTTACAATTATGATATTTGATTGTATTTACAAAAATGTTGATAGGACCCTATGGCATTGCGTGGTGGGGTTGGAGAAAAAGCTGTTCGACAGATAGTTGAGCATGCGAGAGCTGTTGCAGAAAGAGCTCTTCCTAATGATAAAGATCATATTAGCAGACTTTGCAGCGAGATATCAACTATGACCAGTGCTCTTTGTGAACTTAGGCAAGAAGGAAAAGGAACAACACCTCAGGTATTTTTTTAAATATCAAGAATCTGATTGCCTTACATGGGAAATGAAAGGAGTGTCCCTGCTACTCTGTAAACTCTTTAATATTTACTATAATCTTTTTTAGGCTGAAACTTTAAGTCGCAATCTTCATGAAAGGTTAGGTGATCTTATGAGAGCAGTCAGCACAGCTGTAAACAACAGTGAGAGATTAGGCGGTGAACAACCTGCTCATACAGTGGCTGGTAGGTTGGAACAGGCAGGACGCTGGTTACAGCATCCAGAGAGAGAAGATAATGGCTTAGGAAGAAGAGCTATATCCCTCATCGTTGATGAAGGCAATAAGGTTATTGTGCATATTTAATAACATTAAATAAATATTCTAATGTTTTTTCAGGTGATTTTGATAAATAACAAAAACAAATGTATTCTTTTCACAATTTATTAATTTTTGTTATTATTTTAAATCAACAATTTTTACATGAGCTCAAGGGCCTGAAATGTTTACAATATACCCATTTCTTTATTCCAATTGATAACCACCACACGATACATGTAAAATAAATTTACCATAATATCTTCATAATCCAAATATTTTATTTGCATAATTTATTTTATTCTGAAGGTTGCTGTGGGTCTTCAAGGTGTCCAGAAAGCTGAAATGATTGCTTTGTGTGAACAAGTAGATCGATTATCTAGGCAGCTTAGTGATCAGTGCCGACGTGGCTTAGGCAGCTCTCCACAAGCCCAGCAAATAGCCAGGTTTGTCTTAGTGCGTAATTCACTTTTTAAAAAAATTATTTATTGCAACCATAAGTCATTGATCAAGTTTTTTTTTTCTAATTTGGTGTAATATTCAGATTATTGTTCATATTCTATTAAACATTACTTCTTATTCTGATTTTCTACTGGCTAGTTTTAGACTACAGATAAAAAATTTCAATATTCATTTTGTATAACTTTCCACATTAATAAGAAATTTCAGGTGAATGGTCCAGTTAGCCATATATATTAATTTTATCAAAATTTTGAAATGATTCACAAGTCTTATAATAAGTTTGGTCTAGTTTTACCATGATTCGAAAACATTGTAGAGCTTATTCTATTTCAAAACTTGTTAAATTTTAAAATATTGTGTTGATTCTTTAATATTTATAAAGTTGATCATGATTGGCTTTAAAAAAATCCTTATTAATGCCCATAACCATATTTTAAATTAATTTAAGATTTAGCTAATTTTGTTTTTTTTATTTTATTATTTCAGGACTCTACAAGAAAAATTGCATGAATTGAAAGATAGTATTCAAACAGCGGTGGTGAATAGAGTTGTTGAAGATTTTGCTGATATCAATACTCCTTTGAAACAGTTCACTGAAGCAGTTCATGTTCCAGAAGGTAGAATTAATGTATCTATGACTTTGCAATGGAACCCAACTATTCTAAATTTTTCTAGCTTCATTGTTTTCTTATTCTTCAACAATTTGTTATTACTTATAATTAATTTGATTTTGCTGGATCTTATTCTTATAGGTTTACAAACCTAATGTAAATATTCTCACCATCCCTTTTCTCAAGCTTTTCTTTACCTTCTTCTTAATCTCGTTTCTTCAGATCAATAAGTCTTATACACAATCATAATAAATCTGATTTCATGAATGTGATAGGCTGAACTATCTAGGTAGTCGATTGAGTAACTTGGCAAAATCTTATACTGGAATTATTGATAAGTCTCTTCAAATTTTTCCATTTTCATGTTTTAGGAACCACGTGTGGGTAGATTAGATTCAAATATTCATTATTAACATTTATTTATTTTATTTTTTAATATTTATTTATTGGTTTAATATACAGCATAGCCATAGAATCCGGCTCAATTAGTGTTATTAGGGATTAGTTTTATAAGTAGAATTAGAAAAATAAATAAATAAGTTTAGCATTTATGTTTCACGGAATAATGTGATGGTTAGAAGTAATATTTTTTTATATCAATCATCATTTTCACTTTCTAATTTTTGGAACTCCGTGATTACAGAATTTGATGCTCTACAACTTTTATATAGTGAGTTTTCTCTTAGCTCATTTCCAAGCTGCAGTCTCATGTATAATATCCGATCTCAGTTTTAGATGAAGTTCGATGAAATCATAGTTTTATGTTCTGGTACTCATTAAATGCAGAATTTAATGTTCTTTTTTTTTTTTTACCATAATCTTTTCAGTAGTATGCACCATGCTCCTGAATAGTATTTGATTTTTCACTTATAACTTCTCCTATCAGGGAAAACCAAAATAAGTCCTAAAATTTTAATTTTTTTGGTTGCCAAAAGCTCTCCTGTTACCTGTGTCAGAATTTTGTTTATATTTTTGCACCCTAATATACAAATTAAAATAATAAAAGTTTTACTCCATCCTTTGCAACATAATCCACTTTTATAATACTCTACTTACTGGCCTAGTTCTTAAATGGAAATAAAATGTACCAACTCACCCCTTTGTCACCTTTAATACTTTTCAAAAGTCTATTATTTTCATAAAAAATACCTCTATTTATTGAATGTTAAAATTGATTTTAAACAGGGTTTCTATTTTACTTCTGGTCATCAATGATTAATAATCTCTAATATGAAATGATAAACTTCATCTTAACTGTTCTACATTTTAAGTAACTAATTAACTTTTTTGAATTTGCATGTATTAGTGGTTTCAATATGATACTATTATAAAATTTCTAGATAAATATAATATTAAAAGTAATGCTATTCAAAGTTATTCTATGATGAAATTCAATTTTAGGTGTAGCTGGGAGAGATATGAACCTATCTGTGAAAGCTGGGTCTCTTGATAAAGCAACAACTTCGGCTAGTCGGACTGGACGCCTGGTTGCTGCAGGAGGCACTGGTGGAAATAAAAAGTTGTCTGAATCTTTGGTAACAGCTGCCAATCGATTGGAATCATTAGCACCTCAGTTAGTGTCTGCTGGAAGAATAAGATTGGGGTAAGTTTCTGTAATATGTTTTTACTTTCACTTACGTATATATGAAATATATAGTAAGAGTAAGTATTGCGATCGAGAAAATTTTTGAATCTGAGTTTTCAACGGGAATACACTTTTTGAGGTACCCTGAGTCGAAATGACCAAGTCCCGAAAAATGGTCTGTGTGTCTGTGTGTTTGTATGTTAGCAGTCTAGCTCAAAAACGAAAAGTCCTATGCAACTGATATCACGTATTTAAGATAGGTATATGCCTTAGTTGTGACGGCAACTTTTTCCTTAAAATCGGCTAACTGGAAGTGCCACTTTATATCAACGCTGAAACACATTTTCACAGTTTTCTCAAAAACGGCTCTAACGATTTTGATTAAACTCTGTGTATCATCGTATAATTAAGTGATCTTTAATATAAATAGGTCTCATCCCCATTGATGTCACTTTACAGGGCTTAAATGCCCAATGTTCATATACGTCTTCCTCTAAAGTATCTTTAATATGGTTTATTTTAAAAAGTTAATCATTTCGCATTATTCAGAGTTACGAAAAAATGCTAAATATAACTTTTGAAAGAATTTGATAAGTTAATAAAGGAGAAAAAAAAAATAAAAATGAAGAAAAACGTAGCTATAGACTGTAGCGCCTAAACTAATGTACCGATTTCATTGAAACTTCGCTAAAGTCATTTTCTCGACACCCTTCAAATTTATCTGTATAACATTCATCAGCGAAAAGAAGCTGAAAAAAAGTTACGAGGGATGGTAAAATTAAATTCCGAATAACTCAAAAAGTATACACTTTTTTGGGAATGTTGTATCTGTTTTTCTAAAAGTTTATGGAATAGCCTAAAAAACAAAAAAAAAAATCGTTAAAATCAGACAATTAGGAGATAAGATATGGTCTCCAGTTTTTTTTTAATACGTTCTGCTGCATTGGTTATATCCTTTGTTTCGGTTTTTTAATTTTGAATGTGTTAATAAGGTAATGCTAATTTTTTTAAAATGTATTTAAAATCCACCTAAGCAAGTTGAAGGCATTGTTAAAAAAACTATTTCAGTGTACTTGTGGGAAAGAAGAAATAAAATATAAAATCATTTCATGGATGTATAAATCATGTGTTTATAATATTAAATACACTAATAACTATCGAGGAATTTCACTCCTTCCGGTATGTTATAAAATATTCACTGTAATCTTAACCAGTCGAATCACGGAATACGCCGAGGAAATTATCGGAGACTACCAATGCGGATTTAGACGGAATCGTTCGACTATTGATCAAATATTTTCTTTACGGCAAATATTAGAGAAAAAATTGGAGTATAACGGTATTGTTCACCAGCTGTATATAGATTTTAAAAAGGCTTACGATTCTATTGACCGCCAGAAACTGTATAATATTCTAATCGAGCAGGGATTCCAAAAAAACTAGTAAATCTAGTCAGGATGTGCTTGACGGAGACACTCAATAAAGTTAGAATCGGTAATAATTTGTCCGAAAAATTTGAGGTTCGTTCGGGCTTAAAACAGGGGGATTCTCTTTCGCCTGTCCTGTTCAATTTGGCATTAGAACATGCCATTAGGGAGGTAATGCGTACCGAGAAAGGGTTGGATCTGGGCGGGACAACATCCGTGCTGGGCTATGCTGATGATCTGGTACTGTTAAGCGAAGACGTTGAAACTATAAAACTAAATACGACAACGTTAATGAAAGCCGGTAAAGAACTAGGACTCGAAATAAACGTGGATAAAACAAAATATATGGTTAGCTGCAAAAATGGCGATACTACTGGTGATATCGATATAGATGGTAATATGTTTGAACAGGTAGATAAATTTAGGTATCTAGGTTCTACATAACTAGAAAAAACGAAATTGAAGAAGAGATTAAGGTTAGACTGAAGGCGGGAAATGCTTGTTATTTTTCTGTGACAAAACTACTTAGTTCGCGCCTCTTGTCCCGAAACTTAAAAATTAGAATCTATAAAACAATTATCTTGCCTACAGTTCTTTATGGATGCGAAACTTGGCCGCTTACATTAAGGGATGAGCAGCGTCTTAAGGTTTTTGAAAATAAAGTATTGCGTAGAATATTCGGACCGAAGAAGGATGAGTTAACCGGAGAGTTCAGACGGTTACACAACGCCGAATTGCGTGAGCTGTATCCGGGTAATATAATTGAGGTAATTTCATCGCGGCGAATCAAATGGGCTTGTAAAGTTGTTGGGCTTAGTAACGAGAGAATTCCTAAAAGGTTAATATTTGCTGTGCCGAATGGTAAGCGTCCGAGGGGTAGACCGAAGCGAAGGTGGGAAGATTGCATTAAAGCTGATCTGAAGGGACTGGGTTTGGACGGCGAACGGTGGAGGGAGGTGTGTAACAAGCGATTGGTGGTGTCGGCATCGAACCTTCGGGTTCGCTAAGCCTTATTATTATTATTATTATAATATTAAATACATTTACTGTAGTTTAGTAATTATTTATTAAATTTTAAATTGGTTCATAATCGTCTTATCTTTTTGGCTACATTCAAGGAATTGCTGTGTTATATATGTGTGCGATGTTATATTGCGTTCCTGGCGTTTGAGAATTTAAAGAGAAAAAAGGAATTTTTGTCTATTGTTTAATATGGCTTATTGTTGATAATTTGTAAGAGTTTTGTTATGAAGGGGGAGAAAAAAAAGAAGAAAAATATAATATAAAATTAATGTCCGTATTGATATGTATGCTGTGTACGAAGCAACCCTATGTAGTAGGGCAGCATTACTTTTAATAAAGTATTTCTCTATAAATAATTAGATATTAAAGTTAATTCCAAAATATTGTCATATAACTTTTTAGAAAACTAAATTAGTGAATAATTCGATAGATCTTCTCTTTGTGATATTCCTCTACTATTTCATTGTACTTGTGTGAAAAAAGAAGTGAAATACAAAAATATTTCATAGATACGTTTATAACCTAACCCTAAATATATTTACTGTAGTTTAATAACTCTAGATCTCATAATATATTTAAATATTTAGATATCTATCGTCCGTTTATTCCGAAAAATCATCATGTAACCTTTTAGAAACTTAAATTAGTGAATAGTTTGATAATTCTTCTTTTTGCGATATTCCAACAGAATCCACTTACAATTAGTGTGACAACTTTTGACCTGTCTATGACAGACACTGCAAATCTCTTAATTCCGTTTTAATAAACTTTGCAATGGAAAATAACAGTTTAATGACTTATAGTCGTACAATCCATAATCAATGGATCGAACAATCCATAATGAATGAATCGTACAATTCATATTCAACCGGTGATATAATAAATAGGACTTTTGTTATTTTAATAGCATTTCTGTTTTTTTAGCTTTAGCTCAGTTTAAAATGCAATTTAAAACATTTTATAATAACCTAACATGGCCAGAAAATAATTTGTATTCAAAGTTCAAAGAGTAAGTGAAAGTTGTGTGTTGCGCGCACCAGATTTTAAAAATTTAATTTCTAAGGAACATAGTTAAAGAAATAAGTGTTTATCAGACATTTATTCTATTAAAAATGTGACTAATTTTTTTATCCTAACAAAGTCTGTTGTTTTTATATATTACATTTTATTGTTAAATCATTTTTCATTTCTTATTTTACCTTATTTCATTAGTCCCTAAATTTTTTGTTATTATTTATTTCATAGTTATCTACTAATGTTATTATTTTATTCATAAGTTCCTAACTTTGTTAATGTTATGTTATATATCATAACTTCACTTCCGCTACTTTCTATTCTTAACTTTGTTATTGTTATTTTATATTTCCTTTAAGCTTATTCTATCTACATGTTTTTAGGCTATACCTTTCACCTACATATTAATATGTATAACATTTTCATTTTAATGTTAATAGTTCCTTATAGATAATATTTAGAGATGACACTAAAGAATTTAAATACATTACAACAGACCTTATAAACAAAATACAAAAACTGAATACTAATTTTATTCTTTTCACCATTAAAGATAGCTCTTAAATTTTATAAAATAAAAACTCGGAAATAATTTAATATAGAAAGAGAAGTTGAAATGGTCTATATATTTGCTAATTCCATATATACACTAATCTAGATCGTTTTCTGGATTTCAGATGTTGACTTTTCTGTTTTCAATTTTAGATATCCAACATCAAAAGCTGCTGAAGAACATTATGAAAACCTTAGGGGGCAATATGCTGAGTCTATTGCCAGAATCCGCTCTCTTTGTGATGATGCTATAAATTCTGCACATTTTACTAAAATATCAGGTATGTTAATTTGTGAATTAGTTACTAGAACTAGTTGCATTCGGTTAATTAGTTACTCTATTATAATGTAATCATTTTGTTTTATGGTTAATGCATACCATGTCAAGTACTGGTTTTCAAAACCTTGGTATAGACTCAGTGTTTGACTCCAACTGTAAGCACGCAATCAGTTAAACAAAGTCTTGTTTTAATGAAGAAACTGTAACCAGAAATATTTTAAATGTTCCAAACGCTTTCAAGAAGTCATTATTTTTTTTAGAAACATGTTTGCATAAAAAGCTAAAGCTTATGTAATTTTTATGAATTATGAGATGTCCTCACTATAAAAAATAAATAGTAATTTTTCTCTCTTATATAAAATTAATAAAAGTGATAAACCTTTTTTTCGGATTAAATACCATCTACTCTATCAATGAAATATTTGGTCTTAATGCGAAATAAGTAAATATATCAAATGTAAAAATAGGGTGGAGTACCAGATATATGTATGTTATACATATGTATAATTTCTCTAATATTCTATAATAATATAGAATATTCAGCCTTACCCTAAATTTAATGCTAAGGATTCTAAATTTTACTATTGTATTAAAAGGTTGTCATTTTAATTAACAAATTTAATCAAATTTCACTTTAAACCACAGGTGGATCTACGGGGAGAGAGAGGAGGGGCTTTGTGGCTGAAGCCCTTTCCCTCAAAATGGTAAAATGTAACTGAAAAAAATGAATGACTGTATATGAAAAACAAAATTAAACAATTATCTCTTAAAATATTATTGTTCGTGTAATTATATTTAAAAGGTCTTTAGGAATCACTTAAACACCATTTCATATAGGTAGTTAGTTCTTTCTTTTTTTCCAAAGTAATTATCGTTATTTTTATGAAAACAAAGCTTTCCCGCTGAAGCCCTCTCCTCCCCCCCCCAAAGTTAAATCCTGGATCTGCTAGTGCTTTAAACAACAAATAAAATTTATGTAGCATAAATTGTAAACCTTTAGGCAAGTGTACATTATAAAACTAGAAAAGATTTCCTAATAATAAATAATGATTTGATTTATTATTATGTGTTTGCAAAAATATCGTTTATTGTGAATTTTTGGAAAGGAAAAAGTTGGTCATTTTTCTAAAAGCTCATTAAAAACTCTGGAATTAATCAAGAATTTTAATTAACAAAATTAGTATACACTATGTTAAGATGTGCATGTTCAATTCGATGATTCATTTTTTGAAAAGTTTTATGTCCATATAAGGTTTTGAGTGTAAGACCATCTTTTTTAATTATATCCTCAAAATACTTCATTAACAATTTAAAGAAAAATGAAAAGATTTTGGGGGAGGTATATAGGAGACTATGGATGGAGTCGGTATTTGGGTTCATGCTTTTCTTTTTTACAGCCTCAAAATATTGATAAAATAAAATAGATGTTGAACGTATGACCTAGTGTTTCATCATACTTTCTGTATCTAATTATATTACATTATCAAATAAATCTGAGTGCGAAATAATTGAAGGATGAATTATAGATTAAATCTGAAAATTGATTTATGTTTTTTAAATGTTCGCTGTATTTTTGTATATTGCTGTTTAAATAGTAATAAAATACGTTTAAGGAACTATTATGTCATATTTTAACAGTATTGACATAATTTTAATGTACTCTTCATAAAAATAAATCTTTAAAATTTAATAAACAAAAAATAATATTACAAAACAATACTCTTATTTTTATATAAACATTTTAGTTGTTTTCTGTTAAATTTTATTATTATTTTGTTATAAGGTCTATATACTTTATGTTAACAATTTTGCTATAGAATATTGAAATAAATTACTTAATTTATTATAATATAATGTTTTACCTAATATTTTTTTAGAGGAACATATGGCTAAGCACACTGTACTTTGTGAGGATGCCATTGCTAAAGGGGATGCTGAAAAAATGGTCAGCCATACTACTGCAATAGCTCGCCTAGCTAACAGAGTTCTTCAGGTTGCTAAACAAGAGGCGGAAAATTCAGAAGATCCAGCCTTTATTGCGGGTGTTAATAAGGCTGCTGATCATCTTCAAAACTGTCAGTTCTATTTTATTTCATTATCAAAACTTTTATAGCATATAAGTGAAAAGTTTAAATTAACTAAATACAAACATGTAATTTGAAAAATAATTTATATTAATTTTTCCTGAGAACCAGTAGTTTTATAAAAGTTATCACAAATTTTCTAAATAAAATATTGGAATTCCATCCATTTGATATGTGTATGTCTCCTGTTAATTTGTATTAATTTTAAGTCTCTATGGAATGTGTTATATCTGAATAGGGTGTTTTGACAACTAAATTATAAAACTTTATGATGAATTAAACTTTAATTTGAAGTAAATTCTAATAAAGGCTAAACCTCATTTTCTGAATATTAAGATTAACTACTCTACATGGCTTTATAGGAATGTTTTTAGGTTGAGGGTGGAATAGGAACATGGAATGATTAGGTTGAGAGTGGGCTAGCTCAGTGGGTGAAGGTATTGAAGTTCCGACTGAGGCCTGTACATAACTCCAGCTGTAGTAGATAATTTTGTATTCTGTTTTTTTCATCATGGACTGACCCTTGAGTTGGGAGAACCTTCTAGGGCATAAATTGGAGGAAAATGCTGTGTCTTAAACTGGGGGCCAACATCATTTCCTTACACAACAATGGTTGTCAAGAAATAGTATGTCCTACCATCCCTTTATGAGTTGTGAAATTTAATTTTTTTTTATCATGTTATTTCTGATCAGAATGAGAATGTACTGTTTTATTGTTAGTCATAGACTAAAAAATGCCACTGCCAATTTATAAAAGTACTGAATTACAAAGATCTTGCTTGATTACTTTGAATATAACATGCTGGACTTTATCTCCACATATTGCACTGCAAGATTACAAGGAATATTACTCAAAACAAATTTATTAGAACAATTATTTTAAAATAGGTGAAGTTCTACTAAGAAGCCCCCAGGATGTTCCTCTTACACATGTTGATGATCTATTGTGTCTATATGTTTAGTTTGGTCTTTGGTGGTTGCTCTTTGGAATGAGAGGGTTTCAATGATTAAAATTGCTGATATATAATTGTGATTTGTGCCTCTTGTATTCTCACAGGGTATAAACACAAAAATTCATTCTATCCCCTACCCTCAAAAATATATAGTCAAAACATTCTCTTGTATTCAACTGTAACAAGATAGATAATTATTTTAATTTTGTAGTTATTAGCATTTTTTTCTAATTATGATTGTATATAGGTGTTACCAGGATGGTCCAAGATGCTAAAGCTGTTGCAATAAATCCACTTGATCATGCTGCTGTCTCTAGATGGAGAGAATCTAACAGAGCTGTAAGTTTTTTATATATTATTATCATTTTTTTTCTTAGGACAGCTATATCATCTTCATATCCTAAGATTTCGTGTTTCATTCTGACGTGTTCATCTTCCTTTCTCGTTTATGATATTATTCTCATTCATTCAATTTTTTTAGGATGATCTGGTCTGGCATACTTCTTCTGAATCCTTTTTTTTTTTATCACCTATTATAATTATAGAGAACCAGAATGAATGGGAACCACATTCAATATTCAATAACCAAAATTCATATATGGAGCTCTTCTTTTGGAAAGAACAGTTTAGACCTGTGTTCCAAGTCTGGTATTCTTTCACCCGCCCACATTTTATTGATTAATTAAAATACCTCATCTCTGCTGTATTCTCCTCCTCGAGACTGCTCTGATGATTAATTATCCATTATTGGGACCTTTCTTCTTATAAACCTGATGATAGCTATTTCCAGGTCTTAAATATCTGATTTTTCAACCTCCTGTGGGTCGGGGTCCTTAACCTGGTCCTTCTTATTTATTTATATCTTTCTCTTGATTTAGAAAGTGTTGGAAACTTTCTTTCCAGATGCTTAGCATCTCTGTTTTTGATCGTGTCAGTTTGCCATCTTTTCCTCATATTTGTGTATTTCTGATTTTATATTCTACTCTTTTTTTTCCTGATGCTTGGAATTCGCATATCTCTCCATTGCCTTTTCCTATTTTTGTGTAAACTACTTTTCGACTTTGATTTCTTCTGAATATATCATAACTGCTATAAAAAAGAATGAATATATAATAACAGCTTTCTTAGCTGTTTCTTTTGTCCTGCCTCTCAATGTTGATCAACCATGATTTCTCTAAATCCAAGGTTTCAAATTTACATTTTCAGCTCAAGTTGGAATTAGGCTGTTACTTCAGTGTATTTCAAATTAAGGACTTCAAACCTCCTTCTTTCTACTTGATTCTCTATTTTGTAGATTTGTTGCAATTTCTGATAGAGTTTAATTCTAATAGTGTGTTTCATAGTGTCTTATTCCTCGAATAGAGTATCTTACCTCGAATATGTCTCTTACCTATGAGCATATGATGAAATTGGTTTTTACACCCTTAGGACTTACCCTGCTGTATGTATGGATGTCCTTGTGCGACTAGACCCTTAGCTGCTGCCAGACTAATACATCTCACTCCACTGTCATTACTTATTTTGTGGAAGCTGTGGTGTACAAGAATAGGCCTAAATCGGTGTTCTTGACCTATCTTGGCATTGAAATCTCTTATGACTAATTTTATATCTTATTTATGAACCTGATCCACAACTTTTTGTGATTGGTCATAAAAATCATGCTTCACCTTCATGATATAGTATTTATCTTCAGTGAGTGCACCTTATTGTGATATCAAACCAACAACCTCTAGTTCATGACACTCTTATCCCCTCTTAATTGGGATGAAGTTTATGACTGATTTCCTTACTATTGAACTAACTATTAGCCCAGTGTTTCATCTTTGGCATTTCTTCCATTGTAGAGGAGAGTGTGGCCATCAATAGTAGTTTTACCTAATTGTTTTAAAATTTTCTTTATTTTCACCAGACTCTGGTCATCTTATTTCTTGTATGGCTGTTAACGGTTTGTTGCACCTGTTTACCTTATTTACTATTGTTTGGGCGGCTCCTGGTTTGTATATTCTCCAAACATTCTATGTTTCAATACCGAGTTCATGATACAAAGCTTGGGGTTGTTGAGTTATATTGAGAAGTTCGATTTCCTGATAATTTTAAGTTTATTGGTAAGGTTTTTTTTTGGTTGGGTAGAGTTATGAGCCCTATGCCCGAGAGAAGTACTTTATTAACAGTAATTTATTTTTATAAACATTAATTTGATGAAATATTTTTTATTTGAAGAGTACTTTCACAATTTTATATGTTCTTGATCTGTCACTTCTTTTTTCACTTTTAAGCTTATGACTTCAGTTGGAGAAGTAAAGCATGCTCTCACTCATGACATTCCTGATATGAATGACCTTCATATTAGTGGTAAGTTTGAACATATTATTTTGAATATTTATATTTTTATTCTGCTTGAAAACTTTATAATCTGTGATACTTTGTGTGCTTTCTATGTCTTATTAAGTTATTTTTAACACTGTAAATAAATAAGCTCATTGTAAGTGTTGTTATTTTTTCCTTTAATATAATTTTATTTTTTACACAAACCTGTCAATATGTATGGAAGGTTTTTGTGTGCTAAATGTGGTTCACCTCCTTAATGCATGATATGAAACATTATGCCAGTTTTCTTGTGTTTTTGATTTGAAATTTGTGAATAAAAAAAATAAAGTGTGAGCAGCTGTTATCAGAGTCGTATTTTCCCACTCTTTTCGGTTCGGGCAGGAGATGAAAAATGATTTAATTATTTCTTTAATGTTTTTGTCTGAGGAGATGAAATAGAATTTTAAAATCAATCGAACTACTAAATTCCTTTCCTCATGGTCGTTTTTGGACATTTTATAATTTGTTTACAAATGTAATTTATCAAAATAATAGAGGTGAAAGAAAATAGCTAAGACCCCTAAAAGACATTACTCCAAGATAAACTCAATTTTAAAATAAAATTCATTTCTCTAACTCAATTTGGTGGGTTCGTAAAATCTTGGGTTCGTTGTTTAAAATCTTAATTAATTTTTTCTTAACATTTTAGTTGCGTGGAGCCTCCTGAATCAAGGTCAGGTTGCGAGTGTGCGGTTGTTTTGCGCAAATAAACAATAAAAAAACTGAAGCCAATATATTGCCTCTGCGCATCAGGTGTATGGTCTTTCTTGAGCGATTATATTGGCATTGAACACTGGTGTCACAGCTGGCCTGAGCCATTTAAGGCTTTGCGCATTTAAAGGGTTAAACATTATTTATTAAACAATAAGATTATATTTATAATAATAATAATGTTAAACATTTGTCTCAATTAATGTACAAATGGTTCTTATTTTATGGCCGTCCAGGCTCTCTTAAATGAAATAAATTTGAATCCAGTCTTATATAAAGTTGGCCTTTCGTGTGTCAAGGCTGTTTTATAGATGTATCAGAAGAGAAAAACGTTTGTGGCGTCCATGATTTGTTATCTACGGAGTCATCTATCGAAAAATGCTCATTCCAGGCTTATACTAACACTCCTTCAGGTATTATTACTAACCCTTTTTATTTGGAAAACAAAAGAGATACAATTATATATTTTACCATTTATATTATAAATAATAATTTGAAGGAAGAAAAAACAAAACCCTTCAAACACAGTCTACCTATTAAACGTAATAATTTGAATAACTTAAAGAAAAAAATCATCTTTTAAATGAGGTTAACGTTAGTACAGTAAAATTGAATTGACTGGCAAAGGGAGCTCAAGGATAAGACTGTTTAGCAGATAGTCAGATGACAGAAATATCTTAACCTATACTTTGTCTATAATTTCAAAATGAACATAAATTTAATATTTGCATTTTTTTTTTTTTTTATTCTTTCTGCTATTATTTTTGTTTGAAATACTCCTATATATTATATAGAAAATATTTCCCAGAATAAAGAGATTTACCCACTATGCCAATGTTGACTGACTTGTATTAATTCCAAGTACCCACCAGAAGAATCTATTTACATCTGGAATATTGACGACAACATACCAAATCAATACATGTTTTATTATAAAGCAGAGTCACAATTATAAATTTTTTAAAACTCAAATCATACAATTATGATCATAACATAATATGTTTATTCAAGATTTTGGCTGTAACCCTAACATTTGAATAACACCTGATTGATTTATTTGTTTTTATTTTCCAAGTAACTTGAAAGTTCAATGTAAGGTTGAATTGAAGTTTTTGGATTTACTTTTTGTTACTACATTTGCTACATTATTCATTTATCTCTTTTGTTTTCTTTTTCTATAATTTTAATTTTTAAGTTCTCTGTGGATTAGAATATTTATGATGTATGGTTAATTATCGTATTCTTTGCATGCATTTAACAATATTTCTTCATATTTGACAATATCTTATCCATTGCCTGGTTTGTTACTTATTTAAAAAATATTTTATTTACAAATTTGAGATTAATTTTTAAACATCCTATATGATATGTTCTATTATGATTTAAGAACTCTTATTTTTTGTTCATTCTTTAAAAAAAAGCTCATTATTATGTTTGGGTAGAAAACAAAAATCAATACAAATCTTAAATTATTACACTTTCTTTATTTTAACAAGTTATTAATTTTGATAATAGCGCCTATCTGATAAAATATAAGATAGTTCAAAAGCCATCAGATGACAAACTTGACACCTTTAAAAAAAAAATGAGATTCAATGTTATGTTAAGTATTGTATGCCAATCTGGTTTGTATACCTCAGTTCTACTAGCTTACACACACTACTAGCTTTCTACTAGTATGCACAATAGCTTTTTAATTTACTTCAAAGTCTTAAATAACTAAATCATTTTCAATTAGTCCGTTTTCTTTTGATATCAAGAGGAATATATAAAACAGTAAGTGTATGAAAAAATAGATGCTGTTTTTGGAACCTCGTCAGCCTTAAAAAAGTAAATAGATATAAGGAATTATAATTTCTGTTAATAAATTTTTCTTTACCACTATTTTCTTTATGAGAGCAATATTTCAGCAGAAGTTAATTGGGTGTGCGATAAAAGATTATGACTATAAAAAGTGTTAATAAATAAACATTTGAACTTTCATTAACTTTGTCCGCACACATAGCCAACTTCAAAGAGTTGGTTGTTTTGGTAGCAAAATTTGTGAAATGATTTTCCTACCAAAAATAAGTATTGTTTCCTAATATTTTGACTGAAAATGTTTAACCCATTCTAAAAATTAATAATTAAAATGGTGGTAGTATATCCATTGTAACAGCTCATTACTTATAATTAGTATCACTAAGAATGTTATGGCTTGGGAATTCAAAAACAGTTTATTTATTTCTTTTTTTTAAAATAAGTTCTTGCAGTTGACTTAAACATAACTCATGTCATTCTGTATGCAAATGTACATATGTATTTTATTTCAAATAACATTTGGCTGATATTCATTGCTTGAACTTTTTATAGATACATTTTTCTTGCTTCTTTTTTTTTTTTGCTATATTAACACCTTTTAGTGGTGTTGGTTGTAAAATAAAGCTAAGATGTTTTTCAGAGCCTGTTTACCAGACACCAATCTTTAAAACGCCTTACTACGATGGACCAGGTAGATTCATTTTTGTAAATACTACTTGTGTGTACATTATTTCATTTTTACTTTTTAATCTTGCCTGTGTTCAAAGCTTGATGAGCATGACATTATCATTATTTTAGGCTTGTAGAATTTAATAATTAATTGTTTATTGTAAAATTTATAAATGTTTCTCTACTCTTGTTTTTTATATAAGAAATCACAGATTAATTTCATTTACTTATTAAAGTGTCTTTTTGTAGTATTTATTTTTTATCTATATGTTTCAACTTTATAACTCAGTGGAGCATGAATTTTGTGTTCTATTTTTTTAAAATAATTTTTTCCTCAAGCAAATATTAACATTTTTGTTTTACTTATTGCGTTTAGAAATATAGAGCTTGTTTATTTGTATTTGATCAATAACTTTTCTATTTTTCTACAAGAATTTTTGTCAGTACTTTTAGCAGTATTGAAAAGGAAATTACTGTTTAACTAAAAAATAAATAATTTAAGCCATTTTTTCATTCGTAAAACAAAAAATTAAAAAAAAGGCCTTGTTACTTTCCATCTTATCTTTTCAACATCATTCTATATTTTGTTAGAATTTGATATTTATCAATTCAAATATTTTAATTTTTTTGAAACGTTTGTAATTCAGCAACCATATAACTTGAGTAGCACCTGGCGTGCAGTAATAATGGTAAGATATTAGGGACTGTATCTTGTTATTTTTACATTGAAAGCTGAAAGACCTTAAACAAACAATTAAAAGATGGAATGAACATTATTAAATATATCTGCATAACATTGAACATTTATATATAAATGGGACTTCAATGTCTTTTCATTTATATGAAATTTATAAAATTATGAATGAAAATTTTCATTGATCTGACATTTTTTTAAAATTTCCTCTCCTTAGCCTAACATTTCAACGATTATAGTATTGTTTAGGAGTATTAAAAGCTAGTATAGCATCAGTTTCTTCAGTTTTAATCTGCCCACTGTTATGAAGGGAATTATGTCACCAATTCATTTGGTTCTCTTTAACTTTAATTTCAGTATCTAATATATAATAAAATGAAGAAAAAAAGTATTGGATGCAACATTATTTTTGTGATGATCAATAGCAGTTCTACTACTTTTTTTCATGAGAATAAAAAACGCTGCAAATTATTTCACAATGGTTTATTATTTCCAAACAATTATACATCTAAAGTAACATTACCTTCCGAGTTACAAAGAAAAATAAACAAAAGGTGATTCCAATTATTGGACTAAACTTTTTTTTTTTAATCATTAGTAATATCCTAAAAAGAAATAGCATTACTTCAGTAACACATTCAAAATTTAAAAACCAAACCAAGGATATAACATTTGGACTAGAACATATAAAAAAAACCGGAGACCATATCTTTGCTTCTAATTGTCCGATTTTAACGATTTGTTTTTTTGGAAATTTCGTAAACTTTTAAAAACCATATACAATATCACCAAAAAAGTATAAACTTTTTGAGTTATTCGGAATTTAATTTTACCACTCCTTGTAACTTTTTTTCAAGCTTCTTTTCGTTGAAATATGTTATATAGATAAATTCAAAGGGCGTCGAGAAAATGACTAGCGAAGTTTCATTGAAATCGGTACATTCATTTAGGAGCTACAGTCTATAGCAACGCAGGTTTTTCGGCTGCCATTTTGAAAGTAAAAGGCGGATAGTAATGTTGATGAAGGAGGATCATCCTTGGGTGACCTCTTATTTTATGTCAAAATTTGAAAAAAAATTGGTCCAGTAGTTTCGGAGAAAATGCGCGGACAGCGGATGGACAAAAAATTTTTTATTTGTTTTTCGAATTCTACGCATCCTGAAATGTGAAATCTCAAATTTTGAGAGGGGGTTAAGTTTTTGAATTTTTTGGTTAATCACAATGGTTGATTATTGAAAATAATAAACCAAAAATGAACAATAATTTATTTTGTTTCTGCTTACTAAGAATTTTATTAAATAAATTAGAAGTGAAACTACCTCATAAGAGGCAAATATTATAATAATGCCACTCTTAGAAAGACTCCTAATGAATTCTAACATGTAAAAAATAATAAAATCCTTTAACATTAACTTAAACCGTTACCTAGGCAGATTTTGTGTTGAATGTAAATGTGGTGTGATGAGTTTTTAATTTCATTGTTTAGTCTTAAGATGGATGTATTCTTTGGATTAATTTCAGATTTAAATATAATGTAGTCAAAACATTTGAAAATAGAATATTATGTTTAATATTCTAATAATATTAAGGTATACAGCTTTAAGAAGAGCCTTTTTGTGTGCATATAACTGTTTAAAAACTTGTGTTATTGAAATAACAATCAACTTGCAAATTAATGCATGTGATTAAAAGTAAAAAAATAAATAAGATGGTATATTTGACAAGATAGATGCCCAAAGTTATATAGAGTGAAAAGGCTTTCCCTCCCTCCCGTCCACAGCTCACTCACATGGCTTTTTCTTAAGTTTTTTACCTATAATTAACTTCATAAACTTTATATAGTTTTTGCATTGTTGAAACTAGTTGTTGAGGGCTGGTGTAGAGTTTAAATGTAAATGGTCTAAGATGACATTTTTTCATTTCTATCATTTATTCCTATGGTTGAAATATAAATATGTAGGAAAAGTTTTGTCTTTAAATTATTCATGTTAATTCTTAATCAATTCATTTGTAAATTAGCTGATGAATTAAAAACTTTGCATGTTAAGGTTTGCGTCTTGTTTCTAATAATAATATGATGTTTTAAATTTCAACTTTATTAGATTAATCAATTTCTAATTGTATGGTTTGAAAAGTATAATTTTGTATATTAGATGGCCTACTTGCACACTTAGAGTGTGACCTATTGTTATGGTGTAGTTTCTGATATATTAGTTCTACCAATGTAAATTTTGGTTATTTTTGACTTGTCAGTCAATTTAAATTAACTTTTTTCAGTTTTTCTTTTAATATTTTTTTTTTTTTTTTTATAAACTAAGGTAGTTTGTTACATTTGATTGAAAGATTTTATGACATAATAATGTTGTTCCATATCAATCCAACATAAAAAAAAAAGTCATTTTGAACATCACCATTTCAGATTTTCTTGAAATTTAGCTCTGTTGTACCTTTTCTATATGATTAGAAAAATATGAAATTTTATCACTGTCAATCGGGATGAAATTTGCCAATGGGGTAAGAATCGACTAGTTCATGTTAGTGTAAATTTAGCTTCCCAAACATTCTCAGTAAATGTTTATTCATTTATGGATTATATGAGCTTAGTTAATTGTATATAAATAAATGTTTTTTCAATAATTTTAACTGAGCATTTTCATGCAGAAATAAAAGAATATTTTCGGGTGTTGAGTAATTTTATTTGTGTTGAAAAACGTTCTTGTGGTATAGCTAGCTATCTCCTTAAAAATCCTGCGAATAAAGGTGAGACTTTTTCAGTTATTTTGTGAACCAAATTTAACTAAATTCAGAGTTCCCTTCATTTCATGAATATGTATGAACGTTCATATATTAAATTCTGAAATGACTAAATTGTTTTTCAAAAAAAATTAAATAATGCGGTTTTTGATGGTTATTCACTAAAGATGATTTAAAACATTATTTAGTGATGACTTTTTATTTGGAAAGCAGTTATCTCTCAAAAAAGAGAAGCTGCCATACAATTAATATATATTAAAAAATATATAGATCTAATTTTCTTGATAAAAATATCATTTGTAATTGTTTTATTAATTTGGGTGTAATTAAAGTCAAGCTTAAGAATAAAATAAAAATAAAATGTTAAGATTCTTTAAATGTAATTTAGTATTTATTTTTCTTAGTTACTCATCAATGTTAAGAGGTGAAAACTTCTAATATTATTCATCCCACCCATTAAATATATGTTAGTGTAAAACAAAAAAAAATAAAATTAGAAAAAAAAAACATGGAAATTTTCATTCCAAACACAGTGGCCTATTGCCAAAGCCATGTTCTCTCATTTGCAGGCATATGCTATCTGGAAATATAACTGAAAAGTTTTTATAAAAAATTATCCCAAAGAACCATTATTTATTTCAATAGCAGGTACATTTCCAGCAACTGAAAAACCCAAATTTTGGCAATCTCATCAAATTTGATGGTAGTATACTTTTGCAAAATTTCAAAAAAATCTGAGATAGTGAAGTTTAGACTCTGTGTTGGGTTACATAGAATGATTTACTAACTTTATTTAGAAACATAGAAATGTATTGCAGTTATAATTTACTTCATTTTGCATATAATTAGAATACTGATATGCTTACTTTATATTAGATTTTGTTCCTCCACGGCCACCACTACCCGGTGGCGAGCTTCCTCCTCCTAGACCTCCTCCTCCAGCTGAAACAGATGATGAAGATGACATGTTCATGCAAGCTCCACAGCCTAACCAGCCAATTATGGTAAATAAATCTGATTTATCTATTGGAAGGTGGCATTTTAGTTTTTATCAAATCTCCAAAGAAAAGAACTCATGACAGTTATTACTATTGAATAATGAATTAGCTTTTTATTGGTTATTTTATTTCCAAACGTGTATGAAGTACCATTGAAGTTGAGGTGAAATACAATTTAGTTCGTGTATTAGATAATTTAGATAAAATTTTGTTATTCTCAAGGGACTGTGTCCCAGAATAAAGTTATTTTTCTATCTATCTATCTAAAGTTATATGTATAAAGTATGTCCATCTACTATTTTTCCTCAACTTTTAGATTAATCACAGAGTAGGGTAAATCAATGAGTAAGATGCTATGGTCCGGGTCCCATGTTGGATTGTTTATAACTCCTAATTTTATAAGTTGTATACAACTTATATATAAATAATTACCTGTAATTATTTATTCTGTTACACCAGCAGTTTGACCTTCAAAAATATTGGGCCGTTTGACCTAAATAACCTCATTATTTTAACGGTTTAGAGGTGTAAGTCACTCCAAAAAGCATGATATTTTTGAAGACCATCTTTTTTCTCGATTTTGTGCTCAAATTATTTTACGATTTAAGTGGAGAGCAAATGCGTATGTAAAAGTTTTTAGTACCCAATTAAATAGTTATACTTTGCCGATCTTCATATTGAAAATGTCCCAATTTCAAGAATTTTTGTAAATAAAATAGTTATAAGTTACGATGAGATGAAAATATTTACGAAGTTTCACACAGATGTTAATAATTTGATAAAAAGGAGTCTGTATCATGAACTATAATCTTATTATATTTTATTTCAAAACATTTTTTTACATTAACAGATTTTATTCCTAAATGAATTCTTTTTTAAAGAATTTTCAAATTTCTTGGTTTTAAACAAATTTAACTTTTATTTTTTAACAAAGGTATGATCTTAAAGAAACTCAGGATTTTAATTAAGGTTGTTTTAAATATAATCTAAATTTTTTCAACTATTTGTATCAATGAAAACATTTTGAAATTGTTAAAACTGAAATATTTGTCATATGGTTGATTTTTTGATAGATTTACAATCCCAATTACAATGTATATAATTAATATATGATTATAATGTAATTTTTGTTACTTTACTAGATGGCTGCTCACGGACTCCATGAAGAAGTTCGTCAGTGGTCTTCAAAGGACAACGATATCATCGCTGCTGCTAAAAGAATGGCTCTCCTCATGGGTCGACTTTCTCAACTGGTCAGGGGAGAAGGAGGAACTAAAAGGGATTTAATAGCTACTGCTAAAGAAATTGCCGAAGCATCTGAGGAAGTTACCAGACTAGCCAAGGAACTAGCGAGAGAATGTACTGACAAGAGAATGAGAACGGTGAGATTTTTATTGCTATTTATATCAGAATATATAAATATATATACTGTATTTTTTGCAGTTTTTTATTGAGCATTAACTATTAACTTTTAAGTAATATTTATAATTTGTTAAATTTAATTGTAAAAATGGTTTTCAATGTTAAAAAGTTTTAAAATACCGAATATCATTAGAAAAACATAATTCTTGAGAATCAACTAATGAGGTTTGAGGGAATAGCTTGGCCCTATCTAGAACTTTCAGTGGGCTATGTAAATTGTCCTGACTGGTGATCGTTAGTCCTGTCCGTTTTTAAGGTACTGCTAGTAGTTAATGGTGTAAGTATTGTTTGTAGGTTAAGAGTAGTTTAATCACATTCTCTCAGTTCGTTTCAATGTTAGCTTTGGAGTGTATTCAGTGATTGAAAATTAGTTGTGAAGAGTTATCGGTGTTAATATCACATTATTTTATCAAGTGTCAATTATAATTGTATTTACATAAAATATAAGGCCTCCGATAAGGATTATGTTTTGAAATAATTTTAGTAAAATAAAATTGAGTGGACGTTAGGGCATGAGTTATAAAGTATAAGGTATAAGAGTATGACTACAAGGAAGAACATTTGAAAGCACGAGTATAGGTAAAGATTTTTAGAGAGAAAAAAAAGAAAAGTTTTTCTGGAAAACGTCGGAAAAGATTGAGGTCTCAAGAAAAATAATGAAACCAGAAGATTCTTCTTGGAAATAGAAACTTTAAAAAGTGCCTACTGGGAAAAATAAATAGCATGGTGAGAAATGAGAAAGGGAGTCTGCTGGTGCTGGAGTCAGAGGTACAGGAGAGGTAGAAGAATAATTTCCATTCACTATTAAATCAGGCAGGTAGTCTTATACCAAGCATAGAACGAGAATCAGAAGAAGACTGATGAAGCAATGACTTTTGATAGTGATGCTATAGAGGTCCTGACAAAGCTAAGAAATTTCCAGGATTGGATATTTTTCCAGCTGAATATCTGAAAGTGCCTGGCAGTGCTATAACTAAATAACTCCAGGGTTTGAGTGATTCAAGCAGAATTCAGACCTGATCCATAATAGATCACACTTTTTCTCTCAAGCAGATGTATAAAAAGATAAGAGAATTTAATAACACCATGTGGATGCTATACTATGAGCTATATCAAAAGATGAAAAAAATCTACATCCCAGTCAGGCTAGTGAGATATGCAATGAGAACAATGAATAACAAAGTCTGTAATGCAAGAGTCAACGAATGAACTTCGAAAACATTCCATATCTGCACTGGGCTTAAATAGGGAGACCCATTAGTGTTTCTGCTATATAATTTAGTGGTGCATAATATTATGAAAAAGGCTGAGAATTAGAGGTGATAGGAACTCTTTTCAACCGCAATCTGGAAAGTCTGGCTTATGCTGATGGTTGATCTGGTGATAATAGGAAGATCCCTGACTTACATATGGGAAGTTGGAGATAGAAGTTGCCGAGATGGGGTTAAGGGTGAATGAAGGAAAGACCAAAATCTTTGAAACAGACAAAAGGAACCTAGCCGATCACTATAAAGTTATGCTTTCAGAGATTCATTTCAGTTTCCAATATCACGAAACCCATATAGAGGAGGATCTTGATGAATAGGTGGAAATTAGGGTGAGGATCATATCAGCGGATATATATAGTACAACTACTACCATTAGATTATGTTAGGTTGTTTTTTTTTTTGTTTTTTTTGGGTCCTCCCCTTCCTCACCGTTAAGGCTATAAGGGGTTTTCTCTGGCCAGAGAGTGTGGACGGGGATTTAAAAGACTCCCTCGGCACCGGGACGCGAACTCGTGACTATTTTTATATCTTTGATTCATATATCAGGTTGCCGGGCAACGGCGGTGCTGTGCACACACGTTAGCCCATTCGGCTACCCCGCCCACAGATTATGTTAGGTTGGATAATGTATTGATTGTGCCTTTCAAACTTGACTCAAAAGCATATCTTTCATGCCATGATCATAATCTTAGTGAAGTAAATGCTTATATGCTTATATATATATATTTTTTATTTTACATGTTTCCACTACAAACGGACAGATAAGTGTTAAAAAATGTGCCCATATAATATATGTTAAATAGCAGTGATACTAAAGTTGAACTGGAGAGTACATTTTCAAATATTCAAACATCATCAATTTGTTTTTCCTTATTTAGCCAATGGAAATAATGAGTACGCTATGCTGACCTACTCGGCAGGTGGTTTGAAGTGAAAATTAAAAATGATGGCTATTATACTTTGTATAGTCTTGAACTTAAATATTTAAAGCATATATTTTTATTTTTTAGAGTCTTCTTCAAGTATGTGAAAGAATACCCACAATTGGTACACAGCTGAAAATTTTGTCTACTGTGAAAGCAACAATGCTTGGTGCCCAAGGTGAGTTGAATATTCATTATTATACATATAATTTTATATTTACAATATATATATATATTTATATATTAATGATAATAAAAACTATTGAATAGAAAAACTAGTCTTAAATGTTAACTCATTAAACTTTAAAAAGTATCACAAATATATTATAAAAAGAACATTTGAAACTTTATATTCTGTAGTTACTTTTATTCCTGATTCTTGAATTATTTGTGAGTACAATTACTCCGCTGGTAATGTAACTGTCTCCATTTAGTAAGTATCCAGTTTGCCCAATTGCTTATTGAAGAAGCCTTTTAATTATTATGTTCAAATTTGAGCTACTTTATTGTTTCTTCTTGCCCAGAACTTTAAAGAAAACTATTTAACATTAAGTAATGTTGTCTTCGACGGGAATAAATAAGATTTCTCTTTAATTGAGTTGTATTTTTTTTACAGTTATAAAGTTTGATTAATGAAATAAAAACTGTTTAAAAGTTGGAAAAGATGTTTTTTTATTTTTTAAGGGTTCCTGCAGATGACTGATTATATTCAATCCTATCAAAAGTAGGTATAAAATTGAAACATGGAGATTGAACACATCATTTAGAAAAGTTTTCCACACATGTCTGAGTTTTGTAGGTTCATTCAGTTTGGTTGTCATTGAATAAGGCAGCACTTCCAACTAGCAATTATGGAAATGTATGCTATAAATTGGTAAAGAAATGTGAAATATTTCACATGACTCACTCACAATACCATGACAAAAATGCAAAGAAGAAGGTGTGAAAGATTTTTCTTATTTTGATGCTGTTATGGGATCAGTTTGTGTAAACAAAATAGCTGTGTATTAAAGTAAAGTATCACTATGTTGTGAAATTCCTTTGATCTGTATATAGTGTATGTGAAAACTGGTTTTCCCGTGAAGGTTTTTTTTTTGTCCTTGTTATTTTCGAAATATTCCTTTTTATTAAAATGCACATTTAGTCTTCAGCAAGCAATGATGTATCTAGCAAATGAACAAGAAAAAATCTATTATTATCTTATTAGTTAAGCCCTATATGGTAAAGTCTTATTTGGATACCAAAAACAATTTCATCAAACAAATAGTATGGCCTGGCTATTGAGTATAATTCATAAAAGGCTAAATACCTATTGTTCGAGTATCATGTTAATTTTTTGCTGCTAGTTTAGTTAAAAGGTAGGATTTTATATATCTATATATCTAATCAATAAAATAAATGTCTATTGGAATTTTTCAAACATTATAGTTTTATCATATTTAACATTGCTGATATGTTCCATGTAATAAATAGTACAGTAAATTAGTCTTATTATTTCATTGAATTGATTTATCTGTAAACATGTTCTTTAGATTGGGTTTTAAATATTTGTTTGTTCAAGACAAGTTATTACTGTGAGACCAGTAGTCATTTTGGTGTGAATGTATATAAGAAGTTTTATAAACTGCATCTTGTATAAATATTTTTTCACGGATTAAAAATCTGTATATATCACTTGCACAAGCTCTTTGTAGCCAATGCACACTCCACTCCTATTTTGTAAATAACTGATGATTATAAATATTATATTGAATTGGCAAATAAATCTTTTGGTTTTTTCTTTTACCATTACAAATAAGTTTTTTGAATATTTAATTTGATATTTCAGTAAATTCTTTCTTTTCCTTCTTTATTTTTTATCATATATAATATTATTGTATTTCCAATACTAGAGGAAATGTTCTTTATTACATTATCTTTTTATTTTTGACTATTGATCTGCTGACGAAAATTGAGCTGTAAAGTCATTTTCTGTACAAGTACTTGTACACCTTTAATTCCACACATTTGCTAATATTGGTTTTCCAGTGTTTGAACAATAAATTTAGTTATTAAGGACAAGCTGGTAATTGCACCAAGATTATTGGTGCTGTATGTAGCCGGTTTGAGGAATAAAGCGATAATCAATTTTATGTATTACATTTGTATATCAAAATTGATTTGCACAAGTTTGAAAATGCATTTATGTGTACTGATCTCTTGCAAGACAGCAATAGCAAAATACTTCAAGGCCTTTTGTCTTTTCTAATTGTTTATAACTCCTTTCAAATGGCATTCGTTCATATTCAGAATAAGATGAATAAACAGTCAAAACCAGATGGGTTTTACATTTGGATGAGATGATCTGTGTATATGGTAAAATGTTGGTGGGAAAAAATGAGATCATGTTAAATGTGTTATATATTTAGTTTAACATAATCACTTTTATAAAAGTTATATTTAATAAATTTTATGTCTATAAAAACAGGCCATAAATAAAAACAAATACAGATATTTGCTGTAGAAAAACCAATGGAACTTGTTTGCCTCCTTAATATTTTATCTTTTTTTAAATTTTATTACTTGGTCAATTATCACATTGCACGCTACTTTATAAAATAATTTTAGTTATATTTTAAAATATTTTATCTCTCATTATCTTAGCTTAATTTTTCTTTGGTGTTAATATATATATATATATATATATATGATGCTGCTAATCATATGTGTTAATATATATATATATATATATATTTATATATGATGCTGCTTATCATATAAAATATTAAATAAGATTAACTCAGGGTTTTCTTCCCTACCTGTTAATTAAAGTGATTTGATGGGGAATATTATTGGTAGAATTGATTATTTGTCCAGTTCAGTGGCTTTATTAGTCATTTTCATCAACCGTTATTGGTTGCTCTGTCTTAACATAAGTGGGAATGTCAAGATTTATTTAGCACAACCATCAGAAAATAAATATTTACCCCACTGAGGTGGAAATCAAACCCAAACCAATCTAAACCCTGGGTACTGTAAGATCAATTTATTAAATGTTAAGCCACTTTTAAACTGAGTGGATTAGTCCATCAAACCTGTATGCCAGAAATGGCTAGGTAGAGTGAAAGAAAATAAAAAAGTTTCGTCAGCCATGGATCAACGCTGGAGTCGAGAGGCCCCTCTTGGGGCACACTCAACCTGTATAAAGTGGATATCCTTAATTAAATAATTCATCAATTAACGTGGAAAACCTGATGGTTGAGCGTGATCTCAGTCAAATCACCACCTTGCACAACTTTTAGTGGGTTTTAGTGATGCTGTTTTTTTTTTTTTGTTTTAATTAGTAAAAAAATAGGTAAATTTTAACTTATCTTGTACAGATTTTGTTAGGAGGGATATAAAAAAAAAATGCTTAAACATTATAAATTTTATTAATCACGTCTTCATATTATTATTTTTTTTGACTTTATGCTTCGGGGTTTTTTTTCAGCTCATTTTCAAAAGCTTATTATTTAATAATTTTCTTTCCATATTATTGTAACATTACACTTATTATTCTTCTTATAATTTATTAAACTATTATTTGTAAACAATTGCCCCATATAATCTGCTATATCATAAATGTTAGACGAATCCATTTGATTTGTTTTTATTTCTTACTATGTTTTACCTACTATTACTTACTCAAAACTTTTGATTTTATGATTGTATTTTCTGTTAAGGGTCCCTTCAATATTTAAAACCTTAAAATAGGTAAAAATATGCCAACTAGTTTAGTGAATGTGATGGATTAAAAATTAAAGGATTATTCTGCTATGAATAATGGTAGTGGACAAAAATAAATTCAAAAGATTAATAAAGTGAGTATGGTAAATAAGACCTATATCAAACATAGGAATTGAGATTTTTACCTAAGAAAGTGATTGATGTATTGGCTAAATTTCAACCTGTTTATGAATGAAGAATTAGTAATCATTGTTTTAATAATGTTTAGGTTTATCAGAGGGGAATGGTTTTAATGTATATGTCCTTTTAGTTACAATTGATTTTTTCTTAACTTGTTCTCCAATGAGAGAAAGTGTAAATTAAACTTGTTCAACTGAAATAAATCCTTAAACTTGTTCACTCTATGAACCAGGGTTACTTAACATCTTAACACCTTTAATTTTCATTTAATATTAGTATTGTTTCAGTAACAATTAGTTTATTACGTTGTATTAATAATCCGTGATTTGGGTGTATTAAACGTTTTACTAAGTTCACTTCTTTAACATTATTTTCTATTTTATATAAATAATAATGAGAGGTAAAGGTATGATATTTTAGATGTTTTAAATTAATTTAATCTTGTATTCAAAATTAACAGTATTGGTAAAAGTATTTATAATATATTAATTTATGATGTAAGATGTGATCAAAAAGAATCTCTGTTCCTATGAAGAAAGTAAGTTGAATATTATGTTTGGTGTCTTGTATTTTTTTGTTGGATTTAACACAACTATTCCAGTTAGGGCACAGTGAGTGAATTATTCTAAAAGTTACCAACCAACTCTTATTATAATAAGAAGAGTTTATTCTGTGAGTTCTTTACAAAAGTATAAATCTAGAAGAACAACTTAAAAAATGAAAAATTTGCAAACTTCAAAAGTTTTTGTTCCTTAGTTTGTATGATAGAAGCGGTATACAGCAAAATCTTTGCCTTTCAACTAAATTAATCTAGATTTCTTCTATATGTGAGATATATACATGTTGTTATTCCGATAAATCAAATGATTTCATTGTTAGATTACCTTTGATTTTATAAATTTTTATCCCGGGAGTACTGCATTGATGAATCCATTAAATGCGAAACTCACTTGTTACCTATAATTTTCTGTTGATCTTACTTCTTTTTTTTCTTTTTTACTTATATTATTATGGAAATTATTTGGTAGCTTGCAAACATTTCCATATGACGACCGATGAGAAGTAAAGAAATCAATAAAAACATTTTTTCCAATATATTTTTTTTTTAATTACACTTAAAATATGAATATCTTATTTATTGTTTAGCAATTTTTTTTTTTGGTTGAGAAAATTGATTTGAGTACAGCATGTTTACATTTAAATTAAAAAAAAGTTTGAAAAGATTTTATTTGTTGATGTTTTTATTTCCAAACAGTCTATGTTTGATAAGCTATGCAGGGTACATATCCATTG